CAAAAGATTGCGGTAAAAGAAATTTGACTGAAAGTTCCGCCAAGTTTGCCTCTTTAGATTATTACATGTCCTTCGTGCTTGAAGAAGGGTACGAAGAAGAACCGTTACATTACAATCTATTGCTTCATTGGTCAATTGCTGTGGCGATTGTGTGGGTAATTTTATATTTATTCATGTTAATTGGATTGAGGAATTTTCGAAAATTATTTTGGATCGTTGACATTATATTTCTTATCACCGTAATACCAGCGGTTATTTTGACTATTGCTTTAAGTCCGGGTTATGAAGTTATGGACGAAATGGAAGCGAGTTTATCAAATATTTTAAATTCTGAGGTAATTTAATTTTAAATAATAATTTGACATTTAATTATTCATGTAACTTGCTATATATGAATGCAAACCATAGTTATGAAACTACTACGCACTTGCACTGTCCCACATAAAATGTAACATAGCATAATCTAGTACAGGCATTCGGTAGTTTTGCGAAGGAAAAGTTTTGTTTGGAAAAAGGTAACGTCCTTATGATAACTCTGAGTTTCCGTCTGTAGAGACGTGCGGCTAAATCCGAATGATTCTAGTTCTAGGTCTAATGATAGTTCTAGTTTTACACTAGCACTATTAGTATGTAAACTAACACTATACCTAGAACTAGAAACATTTGGGTTTAGCCGACTTAAAACGGCTAAACCCGAATGATTCTAGTTCTTGGTTTAGCACTGGATAACAATTAAAACTAGAACTAACAGACGCACTGCTACATCCGAAACTTTCTAGTTCTAGGTCAAGTGTTAGTTCTAGTTTTTCACTAACATCATTACTATCTAGAACTAACGTTACACCTAGAACTAGAAACATTTGGGTTTAGCCGCACGTCTCTTAACACGGCTAACCCGGAGTGATTCTAGTTCTTGGTTTAGCGTTGCATAACAATTAAAACTAGAACTAACACTAGACCTAGAACTAGTAACATTTAGCCGTACGTCTTCAGACGCACGGCTAAACCCGAAACTTTCTGGTGCTAGGTCTAGTGTTAGTTCTAGTTTTACACTAACAGCATTACTATCTAGAACTAACACTATACCTAGAACTCCGGCAGATATCCGGCAGATTCTTTTGGTTTCTTTTAGCCGCTCTCTCTCTCTCTCTGTTCGTGTCTTTTCTTTATTTTTCTCTTTTTCTTGCTTAATCTTATTTGGTGATAAATGTTAATAATATCTAATTATCACTACTTGCCATATTCAGTAAATATTATTTTTTGTTTGTTCTGTTGGGTCATTTGGCAGAGATCGCTTGTGCGATAAAATGATCCATTTGCTGATACTCCTTACTGTTTAAGATTAAGTTTATTATAGTATAAGTTTATTAGTTCCTCGACTAACAATCGACAATGGGATTTTATGTATATATTTTTGTTCTTATTATAATTTTTTTTTAATTGTTTTTTTTCTTATGTATCTTATGTAATTTTGTATTTTTATCTGTGGCAATAAATTGTAAATAAATAAATAGAACTAGAAAGTATCGGGTTTAGCCGTGCGTCTTCAGACGACCCGAATGTTTCTAGTTCTAGGTCTAGTGTTAGTTCTAGTTTTAGTGTCATAAAAATATGCAACATAGTGACATCTTATGATCTCTATCTTATCTACCATTGTTACTAGAACTAACATGAGACCTAGAAGTAGAAACATTCAGGTTTAGCCGTCTTAAGAGACGCATGGCTAAACGGAAATTTCTAGTTCCAGGTCTGGTATTAGTTCTAGTGAGTTCAGTTAGTCTAGTTTTATTTGTTATTCAGCGCTAGATTGTTGTATATTTTTATTGATCCGTTATATCGTTGTCTTAATCTAACTTCTGGGGGGCGACACACGTTTAGACTTTTACATTATAATATGCAGGGTCTGGTAAAAAAATTAACGAATTCGAATCTTACTTAATGAGCAATAGTTTTGAGGTGTTATGTTTGAATGAACATTGGTTGAGGGCTCCTGAGATTTGTAATTTAAAATTTCACGATTACTCGTGTGTATCCCACTTCTGCCGTTCCGAACATAAGCGTGGCGAATCTGCTGTTTACATTAAAGAGGACCTTGCACCTGCTGTTTACCCCTTGCCGTTTGATTTAGGCCCACTTTTACCATACTCCTGATAAACTATCTAGAGCAGTGGTTCTCAAACTATGGTACGCGTACCACTGATGGTACGCGAGAAGTTCTCAAGTGGTACGCAAAACAGTTTATATTTGTATTATCATTATTGTTTTTTTTTTGTTCAGTGGTACTACCTGATTTTTAAAATAGCCTTAGTGGTACGCAAGGATATAAGTTTGAGAACCGCTGATCTAGAGGATAGTTGCCATGGTTACGGCGGTTTTAAGCGCTCTCATTGGCTAAGGCTTGTTACTACCATCTTCTGGCTAAGATATCTAAGGGATTATTACTACGGTTACGGCTATTTTACGCGCTCTGATTGGCTAGTAGATGGGTTTATCTATAAGATAAATTTAACTAAAAGATGGTAGTAATGAACCTAAGAGCAGGATTTATCTATCGGATAAATTTATCAAGAGGTGGTAAAAGTGGGTCGTAGTCAATCTTTTCAACGAAATAAATTTTGAGATTGCAGGCGTCGATTATCAGGCGGTACAACTCTTAACTGTGTATAGAATACCGCTCGGCGATTTTCAGATGTTTCTAAGTAAAATAAACGATACGCTGTCAAAGTTTTCATACACACGCATTATTATAATTACTGGTGACTTTAATGTACGCTTTGAGCTAGATAATAGAGAGGCTCAGAGTTTGTGCAACCTGTGCGAATCTTATGGTCTGCACAAATGTGTTAATGATTGTACCCGTGAAACTTCATGTCTAGACAACATATTTACCAACTTTGATCCAACTCTGTTTTTGGTTAATGTATCGATCCGTCCATTTCTGATCACCTAGCCATTTCCTGTCAAGGTGACTGGTTGGTCACTCCGCCCATGTGGATCGTGTTTTTGGTGTGCAGCGAAGATGTGTTAGAGTTATGGCCGGTCTAGGTTTTCTGGACTGTTGTAGACCCAATTTCATTGATTATAAGATAATGACTTTCCCTTCGCTTTACATTCTCCATTGTCTCTTATATATCAAGGGTAATATCTCCAAATTTAAAACTCTTAATACTTATCATAATTAACACACTAGGGCGGGTGATACCTTAATTACGGACTATTCTCGAACGGCAAGGGGCAGGGATGGCGTCAATTATTTTGGCATAAACTTCTACAATGTCTTTCCGAAATACATAAGATTGCTAGAGAGTAACAATTTCAAACAAAATGAAAAATTATTTAGTGGCGAAGGCCTTTTATACTGTTCAGGAGTTTTTGATCAATGATTTTGATGACTTGTGTGTGTCGCCTCCCAGAAGCCTTTTTCTTCTTTTTTTGTTCTTTTACTTACCTGTTGTTACTTATTACTACCTTTAGTGTACTACCATTATTGTAAACTGCATTTTATGTTTATTGTATTATTTTCTTTTATGACCTGTGAAAATCACTTATTGATGCTATCACCAATAAAGTATTATTATTATCGAGGTTTTACTGTAATGCCAAATTAAATTGACATGTTGCATTTTATGTGGGACAAAGTAAGTAGTAAGTATACATATCTACTATTTTTAGATGTGGTTAGATTTTGTTGAGCATTATCTATATAATGAAGTTCCTGGTGATGTTATAGCTTTGAGTGCACTTTCTTTACCTCTTGTAAGCTCTACAACTGATACAGTTATTATATTCACTTGTAAAATTGTTTGGGGTGCGATGAGTGTTGTTTGGGCATCCATAACGGGCAAATTTATAGAAAATCATTATAAAATAGAAGATGATGTTTGTGTGATGGTTAGAGGTAATCAAAATTTTTTTTATTAATCAGTGTTTTTCAAAAAAGGATTTTTAATTTTAGGTGATTATTTGTTCTTTGTTATGCTACCAGATGTTTTATCTTGGTGTACTGGGGGATATACAATACTTATTCTTTATTTCTTAATCATAATTATTTGGAATTTGTTTCTTAGTATGTGCGTTGTAACTAATGCAATTGAAGCAATGGCAGAAGAATTACGTCTGGTCAATAAATACAGGGCCATAGTAGGTTTCATAATTTTTGGAGTTGTTTGTGGGTTCAATATAAATATGTTACGACCAAATTTTATGGATGCTTATTGGTATTTATCTTCTAAAACAAAAACTATTTATGATATTCTTCTTACATTTTTAGGAGTTATGTAGGATACACTTTCCCGGCTATAATAGCAACTCAATTGCTTGCAGCTTGGATTGGAATGTTTTGTTATTCCATTCATAAGCTCACCGATGATTATCATTTTACATTTGGTGAAAAGTTAAGCTCTTCTTGGATAATTGGATTAAAATTAGGAACGATTGTTTTTTGCGTAAATTAATTACTTACAAAATTTAAACTAATTATTAATTTCTTAAACATCAACATTAGATTTTGCTAAAGCTTCTCTATGATCAACGATTAATTGCGGATAAGGGATCTATAGCTTTGTATTGTGGATTATTATGGCCGATTCCCGCTGGAATATGTGTGATGCTTTTACGATATTACATGAGAATTAACAAGAGTCTTTTGGATTCTACAAAAGAATGGGGCCCACCCGCTAAAAGAAAACGACATACCAGAGCTTTTTTTGATCCAACACGCGACCTAAAATATCGAACGAATGTGCAAAGATGTAAACATCATTGCTTGATTCGCAGTTTTGCAATTAAAAGAGAAATTAGATTTTGGCAGTCAAAATATGATATTGTCCTCGTCCATTTAAAAGAAGAAAACGTGGAAGTGTTAAAAATAAAACATAGGAGTGTGGATTCTTTTAGATCAACTTCCTCTGTTAATATTATTAATTAATATTTTTAAATTTAATGTTTGTTAAAGTTTCTTGGAAATCTATAATAAAGTCCCTAAATATGCTGCAACTCTTTTAACACACTAACAGCTGTCTTACGTCAATAGGTGTAAATAACACGTGTAAATTAAAAATAAAATACTATGGAACGATTAATATCTTAAATTATTTATTATTAACGGCGAAAAATGACGACAGCTTTACAACAACAAGTTTTTGCATTAGATGCAAAATATAATGCAAATAGGGCCCCAAATAGCCCAGGATTTCGTAAGTACATACATAACTAATTATATTTACTTAACTAAATTTCGATTTGTTAAAAGGAACGCTGTACATTCGCAGAAGAAGTCAGTTATTAAGAGAAACCGAAAGAGAACCAGATAAATGGGCACAATATTTAAAATTAAGATCCACCTTGTTACAGCAAAGATATGGAAATGCTGGATGTGATTCAACTCATTTAAGATCTACTAGTAGAGTATGTTCTTCATAAATCTTTTTTAATTTGAGGATGTTTAATTAACAGTATAAAGACATAACATATTTTAGTCTAGTATTTCAAATGAATCAAGAACTTCTATATTTGGTGTTAAAGATGTTGTTGTTCCAACTAAACAAGCTGAAGCTTCTAGGGCAATAGTTGGTGGTAACTCTATAGCTGAGAATTATGCATTTAAAGGTGTACATCATATTTTTGACCAAGTAATTAATTATTTTCTATTTTTATATTTTGTTTCAAAAGTAATGTGAAAAACGAAAATCGCATGGGGAATAATTTACTTTTTCAATGTATATTTGAAATGTCTCATATCATGCAAATCAAAACATAACAAAACAAGAATAAAAACAGATTAGGGATCAACCAAAGAAGTCAAGGACTTTGCAGGTATAAGGGCAGTCTTAGCCCATTTTTGTTTAATCTTCTCATGGAGAAGATAAATGAAAGAGTAAACCAGGTTAACGTCAGTATTCCCATACTAATAGCATAGAATGAAAATGATCTATAAAGCATTTTGTGCAGGGTGGGCAAATTTGGGTGTTATTATAGGCTATCTCAGAAACTATAAGAGATATGAAAAAGTAGATACCATGTCACAGTCTCTTTTTCCTGGAATAATCCAATCCAGCAAAGACCAAACCTCTATCTTCCTTTGTTTTTAAATTACAGCCAAAAATCAAAATTTTCACGATTTCAAAAAATGCTCATATTTCGTTTATTTTTGAAATTAAAGAAAAGCGGTTAATACGTTTTTTAAGACACTCTTTATTTTATTTTATTTACATACATGGGGGTAGCAACAGGACACAGTCCCACATAAAAGCTACTCCACTATAATACATTTTATATACAATAATTGTATGAACACAAAATTGAAAATCGATCAATTAATTAATTAATGACCTTAAGCATATGTGATCAATCCATTTCAAGGCAGAACTCAAGCCGCTGCAATGAGATAATGTACTCAAAATCACACAACTGGTAGGGCGAGCACGGCTTTACGAATAATTTGTTTGAAGTTGCGCTCTCCATGCGAAGTATTGGGGAATTTCTATACGAATTTGTCCGGACAGTCGGCGCATAAAACAGAAAGTCATAGCGCAGCCGACGAGGGGGAACATGCAGATCAATGCGTGAAAAAAGATAGGAAGAATCACAATAGCCTCTGACCAACCTGAACAGAAAACAGGCATCACTGCAAGTTCTGCGCTGCTGAAGTGTGGGCATATGATACATTTGACAGGCAGATTGGTAATCTGTATAAGGATGCCGAAATTTATACGAGAGATACTTCAAAAACTTTATCTGAATCCTCTCTATTCTGTTAATGTATGCGTCGTACTGAGGGTTCCAAACTGTACAGCCGAACGATAAAATACTATTAACGAAAGCATTGTATAAAGAAATAATAGGTCTAGGGCTGCAGAACGATTCAGAGGAGCGCATTACAAATCCCAGCATCCTATTAGCTCTGGCCACCACTGTATCAACGTGTTGATCAAACAGTAGTTTGTTATCTAAAGTAATGCCCATGACTTTAATAGTGTAAACACGATCCAGTAAGCATGTTCTGCAACGGTAATTAAATTTAATGAACTGCTTTTTTCTCGTAAAAGTAACAGTCCGACACTTCGATATGTTAAGTGACAAATTATTAATCACACAAAAATCATAAAATCTGTTCAGGTCATTCTGAAGGTTAACGCAGTCTGAAACAGCAGCAACAGGAGAAAATATTTTAATGTCCTCAGCATACATAAGACAACTTGAGGTAAGAAAAGACTTGGTGATGTCACCTATGTACACCGTAAACAAGAGCGGGCCCAGATGACTACCATGAGGCACTCTGGAAGACATGATAACAGGACAGGACGAATATCCACCAACCCCAACCACTTGCGTGCGATTAGAGAGGTACGAAGCAAACCAGCTCAGAAGGACACTTGCGACACCAACGCGCTCCAACTTCAACAGAAATAAACGATGATCCACTTTGTCAAAAGCTTTGCTAAAGTCAGTGTATATCGCATCTACTTGGATATTTTTATCAATAGTCGAAAAAAGAATGTCGGCGTATTCTAACAAGTTGGTGTCCACAGATCGCCCCGGATAAAAACAGTGTTGCTCCGCACCCACACAGGGCTTCATGTGAAAAAATAGCTTACTGTAAACCAATTTTTCAAAGATTTTTCCCATTATTGGTAAAATAGATATAGGACGGTAATTAGTTACAAGACTACGATCTCCTGACATAAATAGGCGTAATTTTCGCCCGTTTCCACACAGTTGGAAAAACACCGTAACGTAGCGACATATTAAAAATTACGCATAGAGGTCTAGCCAAGGACAGTAGAATCTAACAGGACTGCTACATCCATTATATTTTTGTAGTCCACTACGGGTTGGTTGCCCGCACTATTTGCCACGCCTGGTAACTATCTGTGTTTTTAGAGGTTATATGATAGACATTAATACGTCTAAAAACATAAAACTTCAAAAATAATATGAATACGTCTAGGATACAACCTCTAAAAATACATAGCAAAAACATAGACCATAACAACCAATAACAACAGCTGGGTGTGACGTAGTTTGCGGGCAGGTTGTCACAAAAATGGACGTAGCAGTCCTGTTAGATTCTACTGTCCTTAGGTCTAGCAAGAGATTTAGAGCATCTCTTAATAACAATGGAAGGTATATCATCTGAGCCCGGACCCTTGGAAACAGCCACACCAAAAAGAGTCTCTTCAACCTCGGATAAATCGAAACAGTCTCGGGGTATGCGGTAATTACCGGCGGGGCAAATACAGATCCGAAGTAGTCGGAAAAGAGTTCACAAACTTCCTCTCCATTCACCGAGGAGACACCGTTATGTCGGACAACCGCCGGAACGCCAACACCGCCCTTTTTTTGTCTTAGATATGACCAAAATTGTTTTTGAATAGAATATAGTGCCGTTGAAAAATTTTAAACGTAGCTGATAATTTTTAAGTTATACCATAAAGTTGTATAAGTTGTTTTTTAAATACAAACTATAATTGATTATGATATTGCTGAAAAGAGCATATTTTTAGCTTTCTAATGATACATCGCACGCATGATGTATTTGCAAAAAATAAGCATTATTTTTCAATTCCAAAATAGTAAAGTTAAAAATTTTGATTAAAGTTGGCTGCTTCGGACAGTAAATATACAGTACTTAATAAGATATCTGGGAGTGCAGGACGTGGTAAGTTGCAGTAATATGATGAGATTGACATGAATCGTTAAATGAGCAAAAACACAAAGACTTGGAACCGAGAATTTTCCAGTTGGAAGACCACTGACTGGAAAGCTGAAGATCTTTATCACAAGAAGGAATGTGACAGGGCTAGATCTTATAGCCAAAAGAATGTGATACTATTTTCGATAATTTTCCTCGATTTTATTAGCCATGCAACCAAGACATTTTTTCTCAATGATTTTGTGAAATTCTTTTCGTGCTTATTAATCCAAATATTAAATTTGAATACAGTTTTTCAAGTGAAGTGTAGCTTAACTAAAAGACCTGGCAAGTCATTCGGGTTCATTAGCAGGTTCATGCATCGTAAATTTATCCTGTTAAACGTTTCTGGCACTGGAAAGATGATCTGATTCGCGTGTAGGACGTGTTGTTAAGTTGGCTGGTCCTTCAAATGAAAAACTAGAAAAACAAACAAAAAGCTTTTATTATAATATTATTTTTCTTTTCCTTGAATCTTCTTGTCATATTTTATATCCATTGTGTAATTGAATCTCCTATCTCATGGGTGGTCGTCCTCGACCTTTTGTGCATATATGAATATATCCAGACTACTACTACTCTGACAATGCTTCATCCTGAAGAAGATGGAACATTTATTTCTCTATTTATAAAATTAATAAGTAACACATATCTCTTCAACCAAGTGAATCAAGTTGTCAGCTGGCCTTGCACAGGCTGTCACCCAGTCTTTTCTTTTTTTTTGCTTAGTTTGTGGTGGCGGTAATTATAAGCAACAATGGTATGGAGAGGAGAAGTTGTTACATGTTAGATAACTTGCAAGCTGGTTTTATTGGGGTCATAGCACTTATTGAGGTTACCGATACTGTATGGTACGCTATGGGTTGCTTCTTTAGGCATTCATATTTTCACAGTGTAATAATTACAAAAATTTAGAAGTAAATTCAAAAACTATTTATCTTTCAACTTTAATTTTTCTGATCAATATTCATAGTACATATTCGTTTTCGATTTTATATGCGATTCTCATTTAGCATTATTATTTTTGAAACAACCCTACATATATATTTATCTAATTATCTCAATTTTTTAAGCATAATGAACCAGTTACAATGGTTAAATTTGCTAACAACGATCAATCGTTGCTATGTTGTTCTTCTGTTGATGGTAATTTATCTGTGTGCAATGTAACTGATTCGCCACCTGCGGTTTTAGCAATTTTAAAAGATCATACAAAAGCTGTAACAGGTATTATAACATTCTTTAAAATTAAAAAGCACCATTACATATTTTATGATATTTTAAGGTTTTGATTGGTCTGCTAATAATGATTTAATTGCAAGTTCTTCGTTAGACAGTACTGTTAAAGTATGGAAAGTTGCTGATTATTCATGTTTAAGAACAGTTCAAGATCCTAACTCTTCGCAAATTCTTTGTTGTTTGTTCCAACCGGTTAACAATAATCTTTTAATAGTAAGTTAAGTTAGATTAGTGGTAACAAGTTTTAAAATCACTTTTTAGACCGGAAATAGTAGAGGGGAAGTCAGAATTGCAAATGTATCAACTGGGAGATTTATGAAAAATGTTTGTAGAGTTACTGGAAATGTCTTGTGTTTAGCTTCAGATGCGAATGGTAAAACAATATGGGCTGGAAATGATAAGGTAAAAATTAAATGGTTTAAAAAAATTTCGCTGCGAACAGGATTCGAACCTGTGCGGGCAAAGCCCATTTGATTTCGAGTCAAACTCCTTAACCACTCGGACATCGCAGCTGATATTTTACCCTCTCGCAGCACCCCACATACAGAAAAAATCAAAAATATTTATTTCAGGGTGAAATCGTTTCTATTCTTTGCGACATAAGCGGTCAATTGTGCCGCACAAGAAGATTAAACATGGGAATGCCGTGTTCAATAACTAGCTTAAGTTATCGCGCTTGGATTAGTCGAGAAGCTCGAGATCCTTTACTTCTTGTAAATTCGTCAAATAATTCTTTATGCCTCTTCAAGTTCGTATTAAAAAATATGTATTATTATTTATTACAATTTATAAATTTTTTAGTATCGTGGATTATGAAGGAACTTTATCTTTAAAGCGTCGCTTTCCGAATAGACACACTAAACATTCCGTAAAATCGACATTTTGTCCTATTATGTCTTTCAGGCAAGGGGCTTGCGTCGGTATGTATTAATTAATGTGCTCAGCAAATTTGCTTAAAATGCGTCAATTTTAGTTACTGGTAGTGATGATGGAAGCGTTTATTTTATTGATATAGAAAAACACGGATCGAGATCTTGCGTAAATACTTTACAAGGACATTCAAGTCCCGTTCTTGGAATTACATTTAATTATAACGAATCTCTATTGGCTACAAGTGATTTGGAAGGTTTGGTGATTATATGGAAAAGAGCAGATTTATAAAAAAAAACATATTTATTCTATATCATTTATTATAATTCTAAAATATATTCTTGCATTTAAGTAATAATTCTATCGATTTTATCTAAAATTTCCTTTAAATTAACACATTTAGATTCATTTTGCCCAACCTCCGCCGATCTTGTTTTCCTAGGATTTCCACCAACACTACTGATTGCATTTCTCCATTTTCTTTGGACGTCAAAAACTTCTAAATCAATATCAGTCGTTATTGGATCGAAGCAGTATATCATGATTGGTATTTTTCGTCCAAAATGAGCGAAAGCTAATATTTTTGATTTTGAACAAAAATCCAAAGTATGTATGGTTAACGTATTTGTGGAGAACTTTTTATATGGATGATAAATCGCTGAGAGTTTACCGGTGTCTATGTTAAAAACATTTATACTTCCTGATTCTGATCCACAAAATATGTATGAGTTACATTGTGAAAAACAACAAATTGTTCTTACTCTAAAAACAAAAAGGATTTTACAAATTTACACAAACTTTTAAAGGTAATTTGATGAGCTGATCAATAACTCTGCCAATATTGAAAGTGTTTTTGAATTAGTTATTATTATAGAATGTTTATTGGAATTACTGATTGTTTTCATGCAACATTCAGTTTGTCAACTATCAATTTCAAACTCATATATCTATGCGGTATGATGACTTTTGGAGGTCACACCCTGTACATACAAGAAAGGAAAAGCACAAAAAGCTTGTGTGTTCGATGATCTACATATGCAAATAGAGATCGGCGTTGTTGTCCAAAAACTTACAAAATTAGAAGAACTAACAACAAGAACAACATTTGCTCTGATGTTGTTAGAAATGTACAAAACCATCTAATAATGCAAGAACTGCTAACTATAACAGGAGTCCAACATACAACCATAAATCTTTCGCCATCCACTGTTACACCACCAATCATTGGCTCGAAATTTATTGAAATCGCCAAAGTTGTGACTAAACTAGTTCCCACAGCTATTATTGATTTAGAAAATGAAATTAGAACTGGCAATTAATAGGTACATGCAACATAGTAGTTATACTCGTTGATATGAACGACCACTTATTATTGTATGAATTATATTAAAGATCGCAACATTCTTGTTCTAGTTTCAAAGACTGGCAAGGATGAGCTTTCGCCTTAATTAAGCTCATCAAAATCAGTTATAGTGTGCTCATACTCACATTTAATTGAAAACTGGTAATTACAGCGCTAATTCATGCAAATAGAGTGTTTTTTTTATATTAAAACTAATTTGTGGTGATTTTTGTTGATCGTACTGGCAACGCATCTTTCAAATGTCTTCCTTATCAACTATCGGGTGGATAAACTAAAGTGGATGGCTGTAAGGGAGAATCAACGAAAGCAGCAGGAGCACAAATTACCCATTGGTATCATCCAAGGCCCTGTAATCGGAATGAATACACTCTAAACCATTTAACAAGTATCAATTGAAGAGCAATTGGTTGCCTTAGCTCTTTGGGTTGGTCCAATTTCAATCCCAACATTGCCTGAATAGTGCGTGCATGGAATAATGGAATAGAACCTCGGTTAAATTCTGTTGGTTTTTGAAAGTTCGAGGAAATAATTATTAGGAACGGATGAGGGCATTCATAAGAAGACGTTAGAGGTTCGAAGGAGATCAGATACTGTTCTAGTTCTAACCATAAACGATGCCAGCTAGCGATCCCCTGACATTCCTCCGATGACTCGACGGGTAAGTTTCGGAAAGCCAGAGATTTTGGCCACCACCAGGAGTGGAGACACAACAACACACTAGCTTGCTAATTAGGCATATTTTCGAAAACCAGTATGGATCATACAAAGCGTCATTGGGGTGATCATAAATATCCCCAATATATCAGAATCAGTTGACTGAATTCTTAATCGGCCCTTCAAGTTAATCAAGTTAAGATGTGGATCTTTTGAATAATTCAGTTCTTAATATTAATCTGAAACTGGTAAGCAAATTGTTAATCAAACAAGACCCAGATGAATTTTGATCCATAATCGATTATGTTCTGCACTTTCACGTTTATGCACTTTTAAACGTTAATGCACCAACAAATAGAAGTAAAATCGCTTAACTTCGTAAACATAGAAGAAGAGTTAGGACTGGATTCAGATCACTCATCAGTAATTAATACTCTAAATAACAAAGTATGTAACAAAGAACCTTTTTTATCACTAACTAATAAATTCACTAATTGGAATCTATTTCAACAAACATTAGATAATAAAATTCATCTGAATGCTCTTATGAAAACAAACGAAGACATTGACAATGAAAAGTTCTTAAAAGACATACAAAAACTCAACACCAATTTTAACACCAAAATCTAATATTTATCGTAAATTCATTAGAGACAAAATTGCACAAAAACGGAAAGCAAGAAATTCAAAATTATTGCCTCTGTGGAATGCAACAAGAAAGCTTAAAGTTCCAAAAACACATACACCTCCAATTCGAAATAATAATGGAAATTGGGCTAAGAGTTAATTTGTTTGCTGAACATCTGAAAGAAACTTTTACATCAGACAGTCCAACAACTATGCTAAATAGTGTCCCTAACGTAATTCAAAGTGATCAGCAGAGTAATATACCATGTGTAAGAATGAAAGAACTGTATTATGAAATACAAAAACTAAATATAGTAGACGCCACGAGAGCTGGCAGTAAATCATCATTTTCTGCTCTTACAAATGCCATACGTAGTTCACAAACCGCTAGAGAGTAATGTGTGTTGGAAAGAGATAGCATTAGTTTAATATGTCTGCTGTACAATTCAAATGGCCACGTCGAAAAAGTACGTCTGTTCTTCTAAGGGATGTCCCTCTATAATTATAACCTCAAATCGAAACGTCTTGTGAGCGTTGTCATGAATCTGTTAGTGTTTTCAAGGTGTTTTCACAAGCCGAAAATGTTTTCTTTGAAAGGAAAATCATTAAATAATATCTTTGACAATGTTTGACATATAACCTCCATTACTAACATAACCTACATTTAAATGTATGTGGTGAAATAATCTAAGTCGTACGTCCATATCTTGATTCATACCATTTTTAAGCGACCTGTCACTGCCAGCTCTCGTGGTTTCTACTATATAAAGAAATTAGTAGCTTATGACCTAATTAATGGAGAAACATTGAAACATCTACCAAAACGGGCGATTACAAAACTATTACACATAATTAATGCTACTTTTAAACAGAAATACTTCCCAAGCATATGGAAAGTTGCTGAAATAATAATGATACCAAAGTCTGTCATATAGGCCAATCTCATTATTATCCTTACTATCAAAACTGCTTAAAAAATTACTATTGAAAAAGTAAAACCTGTCATAGAAGAAAAAGCCCTAATACCAACACATCAATTTGGGTTTCGCAATAAACATGCAACAATAGACCAAGTGCATAGAATAACGAATACTATCGAAATAGCAATGGAAGAAAATAAAGTCTGCTCCGCCGTATTTCTGGATGTTGTACAAGCTTTCGACAAAGTCTGGTTAGATGGTTTAAATTACAAACTAGACCAAATACTACCATCAACGTATAGTCATCTATTAAAATCGTATCTTTCTGATTGATATTTTAAAATAAAATACGAAAACGCTTATTCACCACTACATGAAATGCGAGCCGGAGTTCCTCAAGGAAGTGTGCTTGGCCCAACAATGTACTTACTCTACATATTCGATCTTCCTCAGGTACCAGAAACTTTAACAGCTACATTCGCAGATGACCAGTGATTTAGCTGTTGCAGAAAATGAAGTAGTTGCAGCAAATAAGTTACAATTGGCCTTAAATTCAATAGAAAACTGGACCAAACGATGGCTAATAAAACTAAATACATATAAATGGACATATATAAACTTTACTTACAAGAAAGTAAACTATGTCCCAGAATACACAAATGCCAAACTCAAATGGAAAGCTCACGTCGAAAAAAAACGTAAGGAACTTGATATCAAATTTAGACACCTTTTTGCTTATTGGCAGAAAATCAACGCTATCATTATGTAACAAGTTGCTAATATACAAGCAAGTATTAAAACCAAAATGGACATACGGAATCCAACTGTGGGGTTGTACCTGCAAGACAAATGCATGAATTTGTCTGATTCAAAGATTCCAGAACAAAGTACTAAGGTGCATAGTGAATGCACCCTGGTATACAAGAAACACCGACATCCATCGCGACTTGAAAGTAGCATTGGTGTCATTAGAAATTGCATCATTCGCATCTAAACATGAGAAGAGAATGCACGATCATCCCAACATCGAGGCCATCCAGCTTCTCGACAACGAGGATGTCCTGCGTCGCCTTCAGAGGATGAAGCCGTTCGATTTAGTGACCTAGTGCCCTAGTCGATTCAAACGCGAATTATAACAAAAACAATAATACCCTAAACGTGTGTTCCGCGTATCGCAGTGTGCGCGGTTTTGTGTTTTGGTCTTGAAACGGTAAAAATATGACAATATTTAGCTATATTATGGGTAAAGCAGACTGAACCACTGGGAAAAGCTGCAAAAGATTACCTAGTTTAATTTGGTGTTAAAAATAAGTAACTAATTAGTATGTATTTACTAGGTGTTTATACAATTGTGCTATGCATAATAAAAAAAAAACTTTTAAACTTTGCGAAACTAACTGAACACAGTATAAAAATACTTAGAAAGTGATAACTAACACTCAAATGGAAGTGGGGTATGTATAGATCTTTTCACAATAAGAGTAGTAATACTATAACGAGTAATCCATAAAACATGTTTTTGTTATTATTTTAAATAATTATTACCTATTATTTACACCACCCTCCAACCAATTTATAACACACCCACTTTTAATATCTAAAATCCTCAATATGTTATCTCTAGCATGCACAATTAATTTCTTTTCTCGTTTATGTAGTAGTATTTGATTAATAACCGTATTTTTAAGTTCCACCAGGACGATTTCCCTAAAACAAATTTAATATAAAATTTTGTTAAATAAATAATACATTTCGAACTTGTATAAATTAAAATTTTCGTTGACGTCTTTTTCCCAACAATTTATATTCCCCAAAGAATCCGAACTGTAAATACAGGTAGATTTTGAATTGATGCATATACAAGTTATGTATCCATCATGTCCTTCTAACTCTTGATACAATTCCCACGTTAAATCCCCGATTAATCGCCATATCCGTATTATTTTATCGTAACAACCGGTCGCGATGAAATTTTGACCGATTTCGCACCAATACACAAACGAAGGATGAGGTAACATCTTAAATACATTTATTTAATAAAGTATTTTTATATAATAAAGTGTTAATAAGAACCTGTGTAAATTTAACTTTATTTAAGTCCCATATTGATACAGTTCCATCGGCTGATGATGCGAGGATTAAATCGTCATTTTTCGAAAAAGTTATGTTGTAAATTAAGTCTTGATGTGAGCTTAATTTGAAATATTCGTCTAAATTTGGGAGGAAATATACAACTAAAAAGTATGTTTCTTTGGAAAGAATAGAACAAACTAAATATTTCCCAGTGTTTCCAAATTTTAAAGCAAAACATCCTTCATCACCACTTTCTAATTCACTGTGTAATTTATTCGGCAATTTAAAGGTTTTTTCTTGCAAATTTGTTAATATCTCGTTAACTTTTTCTTTTTCATTTTCTTTAAGTTCTGAATTTAATAAATCTTTGTTATCATATTCATTAACATTACTTGATTGTTCTTGATGTTTGTATTCGTTATCTATGTTGTTTTTTAAATTTTTTATTGCAGCTTTAATGGTCGTGTTATTTTCTTTTATAGTAACGTATAGTGTCGATGGATATTTATTTCTTTGTTGTTTCCACCAGTCATAAACAGGGCAAAAACTTCCTTTTTTTGTATTACCTGGTTTGTAAAGTTGAAGTCGTAACGTTTTGTTTATATTAAAACTTCCATCTCCTGCTACGATTTTTAGAAATCCCCATGCAATATGATGCCAATTTAATAATATATCTGAAATTGAGAGAAAATTAACTTTTCAATACACACGCGTCTTCAGACGAACGGCTAAACCCGAATGTTCTAGATCTAGGTCTTATGTTAGTTTTAGTGACAGTGTTAGTGCAAAACTAGAACTAACACTAGACCTAGATCTAGAAACATTCGGATTTAGTCGCAGGTCTTTCATGACGGATAAACCCAAATGATTCTAGTTCTAGGTTTTGTGTTAGTTCTAGTGATAGTGCAAAACTAGAACTAACACTAGACCTAGAACTAGAAACATTCGGATGTAGCTGCACGTCTCTTAAGATGGCTAAATCCAAATGATTCTAGTTCTAGGTCTTATGTTAGTTTTAGTGACAGTGCTAGTGCAAAACTAGAACTAACACTAGACCTAGATCTAGAAACATTCGGATTTAGCCGCACGTCTCTTAAGACGGCTAAACCCGAATGGTGCTAGTTCTAGGTCTTATGTTAGTTTTAGTGACAGTGCTAGTGCAAAACTAGAATTAACACTAGACCTAGATCTAGAAACATTCAGATTTAGCCGCACGTCTTTCAAGACGGCTAAACCCAAATGATTCTAGTTCTAGGTCTTGTATTAGTTCTAGTGATAGTGCAAAACTAAAACTATCACTAGACCAAGAACTAGAAAGTATCGGGTTTAGCCGTCTTGAGAGACGCACGGCGAAACCCGAATGATTCTAGTTTTAGATCTAGTGTTAGTTTTAATGCTAGAATTAGTTTTAGTTGTTATTCAGCGCTAGATTGTTGTATATTTTCATTAACCTAAAACTAGACTTACAACTAGATACATTCGAGTTTAGCCGTCTTAACAGACGCTTGGCTAAACCCGAATGTTTCTAGTTCTAATGTTAGTTCTAATTGTTATATTTCAGTGTTAGTGATTATTCAATTTTTAATTATTATTAAGTGTTACATTATTGTATATTTTTATAATCTAAAACTTCGCGTGTACTCAAAGTTTAAGAATAATTTTTATTGTTAAATTTAAAAATTACCTGTTTCTGGAGTTTCAAAACTATCATAATCCACAATTTCAAATAACAACATATTTTTTTCTTCAGTAAATAATTTATGATCAATATTTATTATTAATGTTTCTTCCCATTCAGGATTTAATTTTCTTTCTTTTTGTAAATAAAAAGGTTGCGTTGAGATTTTTAAATCTTCAATATTTTCAGGATTAAGATTATTTTGCATTTTTACAAACTCCCCCGTTTCGAAATTTATAACAAAGACTTTAACAATTGGATGAATTAACTTCTTTAATTTTAATCGGCTCGTTTTATGGATTGTGATCTCAACAATATTTTGACTAGATTCTTCTATAATTTCTTTCTTTTTTTTCTTAATTTTCTTTTTCTTCTCATTTACATATCGTATGCTCGTCTTTTCATCGTCTTTATCACTTTTCTCAACTTCACTAAAAATTTCATTATTTCCCAATTCGTTTAATTCGATTCCTTCGTATTCTGTGTTAGAAATAGATGAAGCAGTACGATTATTAGTGTTTATTTTTAAGACCTGAATCGCTTCCTTTCTATCATGTACAAGAATATCTCCAATTTCTTCTTTGTTCACATCGTAGGTTTTTCGCGAGCTTTGAGAGGATGACGAAAACTTTCTTATAATCTGAGAGGAGTCTTTTAAATTCAAATCTTTTGACTCACTTTCTTTTTCAATAACAAATGTGTGATTAGATTGAAAGCTCCCTTTGTCGGATTCGCTCGATTGTTGTTTTAGCAATTTCTTTCGCACTTTAGGAATTGGTCTTTGAACTTCAATCATAGTGGAATCATCAGTTAAAAATTTATTTAAAATGAAATTGTTTGCTACTTCTTCTTCGTTTTTTAAGGTTTCTTCAAACACTTTATTGTCTTCACCATGATCTGGTGATTTTTCGATTAGGTTTTGAGTCGATTTTGAATCCGATTTTTTTAAAGCTGCTTTTAAAAGAGCTTCGAATTTTGCTTTAGTTTCGTTTGTTATACCACGCGCCATGACAATTTCACCTTTTTAACTGACTTCCGGTTATTTTCTGTCTTGTTTGAAGTACGTTGCTATAGAAATAATGGTCAACAGGTGTTTCAAGTATCGATTTTTTTAGGAATTACAAATAAAATAGTTCTTATAGGAGTTGTTTTTATATAATTATTTGTTTTCGCGTTTAAATCCAACTCTGTATGTTTGATTGTCATAGATATGAAATATAAATTTTAAAGAGTCGTATCTCAAGAACGAATTGAGATAGCATCATGAAATACAGAACATTTTAAAGCAAATTTGATGAAGATTTAATCCACCATAAATAATTTCTTAATTTCCATAAACATCGTTGTTATGATTGCTTAAATCCATCCCTGCATGTTCGATTATTATAGATATGAAATATAAATTTTAAAGAGTCGTATCTCAAGAACGAATTGACATATCATCTTGAAATAAAGAATATTTTAAAGCAAATTTGATGAATGCTTAATGCACCATAAATAATTTCTTAATTTCCATAAACATCGTTGTTATGATTATTTAAATCCAACTCTGCATGTTTGATTGTTATAGATATGAAATATAAATTTTAAAGAGTCGTATCTCAAGAACGAATTGAGATATCATCATGAAATAAAGAACATTTTAAAGCAAATTTGATGAAGATTTAATGCACCATAAATAATTTCTAAATTTCCATAATCATCGTTGTTATGATTTTTTAAATCCAACTCTGCATGTTTGATTGTTATAGATATGAAATATAAATTTTAAAGAGTCGTATCTCAAGAACGAATTGAGATATCATCATAAAATAAAGAACATTTTAAAGCAAATTTGATGAAGATTTAATTCTCCGTAAATAACTACAAAATTTCCATAAACATTGTTGTTATAATTTTTTAAATCCAACTCTGTATGTTTGATTGTATAGATATGAAACCTAAACTTTAAAGAGTTTTATCTCAAGAACGAATTGAGATATCATCATGAAATAAAGAACATTTTAAAGCAAATTTGATGGAAATTTAATGTGTGGTAAATAATTTCTTAATTTCCATAAACATCGTTGTTATGATTGTTTAAATCCAACTCTGCATGTTTGATTATTATAGATATGAAATATAAATTTTAAAGAGTCGTATCTTAAGAACGAATTGAGATATCATCATGAACTAAAGAACGTTTTAAAGCAAATTTTATGAAGATTTAATGCACCATAAATAATTCCTCAATTTCCATAAACATCGTTGTTATGATTATTTAAATCCAACTCTGCATGTTTGATTGTTATAGATATGAAATAAAAATTTTAAAGAGTCGTATCTCAAGAACGAATTGAGATATCATAATAAAATAAAGAACATTTTAAATCAAATTTGATGAAGATTCAATGCACCACAAATAATTTCTTAACTTCCATAAACATCGTTGTTATGATTGTTTAAATCCAACTCTGCATGTTTGATTGTTATAGATATGAAATAAAAATTTTAAAGAGTCGTATCTCAAGAACGAATTGAGATATCATAATAAAATAAAGAACATTTTAAATCAAATTTGATGAAGATTCAATGCACCACAAATAATTTCTTAACTTCCATAAACATCGTTGTTATGATTGTTTAAATCCAACTCTGCATGTTTGATTGTTATAGATATGAAATATAAACTTTAAAGAGTCGTATTTCAGGAACGAATTGAGATATCATCATGAAATAACGAACATTTTAAAGCAAATTTGATGAAGATTTAATACACCATAAATAATTTCTTAATTTCCATAAACATGGTTGTTATGATTGTTTAAATCGAACTCTGCATGTTTGATTATTATTGATATGAAATATAAATTTTAGAGAGTCGTATCTTAAGAACGAATTGAGATATCATTATGAAATAAAGAGCGTTTTAAAGCAAATTTTATCAAGATTTAATGCACCATAAATAATTTTTTAATTTCCATAAACATCGTTGTTATGATTGTTTAAATCCAACCCTGCATGTTTGATTGTTATAGATATGAAATACAAATTTTAAGGAGTCGTATCTCAAGAACGAATTGAGATATCATCATGAACTAAAGAACGGTTTAAAGCAAATTTTATGAAGATTTAATGCAAAATAAATAATTTCTTAATTTCCATAAACATCGTTGTTATGATTGTTTAAATCGAACTCTGCATGTTTGATTATTATAGATATGAAATATAAATTTTAAAGAGTCGTATCTCAAGAACGAATTGAGATATCATTATGAAAGAAAAAGCGTTTTAAAGCAAATTTTATCAAGATTTAATGCACCGTAAATAATTTTTTAATTTCCATAAACATCGTTGTTATGATTGTTTAAATCCAACTCTGCATGTTTGATTGTTATAGATAGGAAATATAAATTTTAAAGAGTCGTATCTCAACAACGAATTGAGATATCATTATGAAATAAAGAGCGTTTTAAAGCAAATTTTATGAAGATTTAATGCAGCACAAATAATTTCTTAATTTCCATAAACATCGTTGTAAACATGATTGTTTAATTCCAACTTGGCATGTTTGACTATTCTAATCTGTAATAGCAGATATTAAAAATATCATATCTCATAAACTAATTGAGATATCATCATGAAACAAAAAACAATTTAAAGCAAATTAATTTAATATATTAAAGATGGTTTTTTTAAATCTTAAAACTTCAAAGTTATGAATTTTTGAACTCAACCTTGCATAACCATAAACATTATTAATATAATCTTTTTAATTAAACAAAAATGTATCCAAAATTATTACATTTTTATGAAAATTATTTCTAATTACCTAAATTAATTTAGATTAATACATAATAATTAAACTTAATTGTTTGTAAACACGCTCATTACATAAACAAGTTTCCCAAAAAAAAATTTATACATAATTATCTCACTTTATCACATACATACATACAAGAACCATTGTATGCCGCATTATTATCACCGTGACAACCAAACAGGTTTGTTTACCTCGGCATGAGCTTTTTATTCGGCGTTTCGTTTTAAAACCCACCACAACACCTCACACTGCGCACAGAAGAAATTTAATGGAGTGATTACTATGCATTATATTCTCGTTAAACCTCCTACAATGAAGTTGGTGTTGTCAGCGTTTCTCTTTTAGAAGATACGACGATGATGTTATAGTTATTTTTGTGGATTTAAAAAAATGGGTTCATCTATAAGCTTGACTGATAAAGTTCAACCTCAAGAGGTCAGTAATTAACATTATATTTGAATATTCATCACCTAATTCTATAAAAAATAATAATTAATATTTTTAATTATAATTTTTTATTTGCAGATTCCTTTTGGTAATAATCCTGAAGAAAGCGAAACTCATCCAAAAAAAGATAGACAATGCACAGATATTTTCTTCTTGATACTCATGTCTTTAGCTCTTATTGTTTTGGTACTAAAACCCAATCAAATTTAACAAATTCTTTAAATTTCCAACTTTCAGATAATTTTATCAACTTATTGCATTTATTACGGTAACATTTACAGGATTTTGTACGGTTATAACGATTGTGCCGATGTCTGTGGTATACAAAATTTCAGAGAAAAAGATCTTAAATTCGAATGTAAAGGAAGCGATATGAAGTTTAACAAATATTTGATGATATTAAACGCAAGTGACACCCAAGGAAATTCTAATGGAGTAACGAGAGTTTGTGTATCAAGTTGTTATGATCACCCCGGATAGTAAGTATTTTTAATAATTACAACCTGTCTAAAAATGATAGATGATTTCTTTTTGTTTATCAATTTTTAATGGATACTACAACTCCGTATTCTAATGCATTCTTAATTTCAATTAGGTGTCGTTTGGGTCCGACCACACACGCAAACTTATCGATTTTAGAATGTTTGTGATTCTTTTTATGTCTATCAACAAAACGCAGTCGTTTTCGTTGATAGACATAAAAATCATTTTAAAACGGTTGTAAATGTATCTTGTTGGTCTTGCAATATGATACAATGAAATCTTTAGTGTGTAATTAGATATCAGCAAGACGTAAAAGGTAAAAAGATTAAATTTCAAAAGCGATTTTCACTGTAAATTGATTCAAAAAAATTGTTGAATAAAGAAAATTGCAAAATAAAGCTTTACTCCATAAATCTTCATGAGACTTAGATTTTTTCTAATTTCCTCAATTAAATGTGCTTGGTTACAGATAATAAATTCCATAAAATTACTAAACATAACCTTTTTTATCATATTGAAAAAATACAATTTCTTCTTTATGAAATGTTCAACAATCTTAAGTTAAGCTAAAAGTGAAGTAGTTGAATTTGATCATTGTCATCGTTCTTGGCTCTACAGCTCGTTGTGTACCTTGCCCTTCCTTAACAGTTCCTCCCAAATTTGTTTATCCCGTGCCTGTCGTGTTCAATCCCTGACCTTCAGACTTCTTAGATCCTCCTCCACATAGGTCCCCAAATCATCTCTTCAACTTCCCAACTGATCTTCTACCCACAGAACCAGGATGACCAAAGATAATTCTTGTGGTACTTTTTATGTCCATTCTGGCTACATGGCACTTTGATAAATTTAAGTATAAGTGGTTAATATAGAAGATATAAGTTGAAATTGTAACAGCAGATACAGTTGTCAATAATAAGTACTTTTCTCTCGAATCATCTTAATGCTTCTTGGTTTTTCTGCACTAAGGTCCTTATTAAAATCTTGTATAGGACTAATTTGATTTTGATTCTTGATAGTTTAGTTGTGAAGTTGTTTTTATGCCAATGCAAGCATTTATTGTCTTGCAGTATTTCCTCGCTAACCGATTTTTTATTATCAAGTTTACGAAACTGCCAAGTATCTTGTCATTCCCAACTTCCAAATGTTCTGGTATGTTTTCACCGCCATCCATTTCTAGCGTACACTTAGTCTTTGTAAAATTTGTTTTTAAATCCATCTTCTCCACCTCCCTTTTCAACCTTGTTGGGTTGAAATTTTCTGTTCTCCTTATAATACTTAAGTCGTCGACGAATCCAAGATCTGCGTTGATTTGTTAGCTATTATTCCCGATGTTCAGAGTCCCGCATCTCTTACTACCTTTTCCTTAGCAATATTTAAAAGCAGACATGACAGCCCGTCCTTGTATTCTGACTTTGCAGAGAATCCTTCCTGAAAATTAATTCCGTATCATTGCTACTAGATGAGGAGGTATGTAACCGCGACATTGCCTCGAATAATTTGTCTTTTAGTATGGTGTCGTATGTGCAGTTGAATTCCAAGAAAAAATGATATGTTTCTGTATTGTACGACATGTACTTAGTATTTGCCACACTATTGTTACCACAACTTCTTCTACGTATGGTTGGAGTCTGTCATATAGTATGTTCAATATTATCTTATACGCTACATTTCGTGCGGAGATGTCAGGTGATGCGTTTCCACAATTTTTAAAAAACAAAGCTAGTAATTCGGTTCCTCTAATAACCTGTTATGTTGTTCTTTTTTCTATATACTCTTTTTTCCGTTCACCTTAATTCCCTGTCTTCTTCTAGCGCACTTCTTCTGTTGTGTTGTTGTAATTTTATGTAGGCTTTGGTCTTTGTATTAGATACCCGCTGACACTCCTCATCGAGCCAATCGTTCCGCGTCTCTCTCCGCCTTTCCCTCATTATGTCGATGGCCGCTCTCCAAAGCACACCTTCACACTGCCTTTAGTGTTCCTTCATGCTTGCATGTATGAATGATGCACTGGCATGCATTCATTCCAGTGCCTTTACGTTGTATCTCGTTATCCTACCATTCTTTTCCTTTTTCACGTTATGTAAGATCTCAATAATGTTGCTGGCATGACTTACGTCTATTAGAACATGGTCAATTTGGTTAAAAGTTACACAATCCGGGGAATGCCATATGGCTTTATGAATTTTCTTATGCTGAAAAATAAGTGCTTATAATTAACATCTCAGACGTGTCATTGCTTTGTAAATTTTTTCCTTGCCGACTCGAGTTACTTTCCCCATCCCGGCAGTTTCTGTACATTCCGGCAGTTCGCAGAAAGTTTGAAGAAAACAGCGCGTTAGCTCTTGCCCTCAGTCGGTGATAGTGCCGTCAGTTATATATAATGCTTGAAAGCTTCTGGAATAGTTGGATCTTCAGTATGATTAGACATAGTCATTGATTTTCTGACCAATATTTTTAAGTAGATTATTGAATTCATGTAGAATATTAATCAGATATTTATTAAAAGCATAGAATTCCCTGTGTAACACATCTAATGTATCCTGTATTGTTATCCCTGACGTTTTCTCTCAAATATTATCATTTGCCGTGATGATTTGAAGATATTTTTACGTTTTACTAACAACCTCAGCTTGATTAAGTATTCGATGTTGATTAAGAGAATCCCTCAAAGTATTATGGCATAACAATCCACCGATTGAAAATTACAAAAGAGAAAAATATGCTATGAGTGTTGCTTAGTACTATCTTATTTACATATCATGTACCATAGACAGAGATGCGAAAGGGAATTGTACCTGCATGGCATGTGAAGACGATACTACATTAACACACTTACTAACCAATCTAGTATACAAGTTACTGTTAAGAATTTTGAAGAAATTGTTCGATAGTTCGGTTGAAGCTAAAATTTATCAAAAAAATGTTCACCTCTTTTGAGACGTCAGAAATACTCCACAATGTTGTTTGTTATGGTAGTTAATTGGAAAATTTTTAGCCGAGAATTATTTCACCGTTGCATTCCCGAAAAAAGTACATTAATCGTAAATCAATTTGTATCAAAATTGGGTTGGAACGATTTCTTTCAAGAAGCCGCCGAAGACTTGGGAAATAATTGGAAAGAAATTTTATATTTATGCCTTATTGGGCTTGGTAATTTCAACAAATTATCAAAAAAAAAATTATCTTAATTATTATTTTAATTTTAGTTTTTTCACTTGTACTAGTTTTATTACTTCGATTTTTCGTGGGATTTTTAGTATGGACTGTAGTGATTGGAGTCGCTTTAGCCTCAATAATAGGAACGATTAATTTATGGTAACTTCAATCAAGATCTTATTAAGTACATTAATCTTTCATTTTATTCTTTTTAGGATTTTATACAGCCAAATTGACAATGATATCAACAACAAATCCGCTCAATTAGTCTCAATTGTTGAATCAACGAATAAATGGAGCATTCTCTCCTTCGCTATTATAGTAACAATAATAAGCGTTTGCGTGGTTGTTTTGATAATAGCCTTAAGAAATAGGATTAAATTGGTGGTTCAATTATTTAAAGAAGCGGGAAAAGCTATTGCGTCTATGCCACTACTTTTATTACAACCATTTTTGGTTAATATTTACTCATTTTTTTTTATCTAGTTAATTTTTAAAAATTATTTTAGACGTTATTTTCGTTAGCTGTGGTGATGATTTCTTGGTTATACCTCGCACTTTGGATTCAAAGTGCTGGTCATCTCACGTATATCAGGCAAAACTTTTTTGTGTATTTAGCTGATACCCCAATGAAAATCGCTCGATTTTGGAATTTCTTTTTAATGTTATGGATGTGCCAATTTGTTATTGGGTGTCAACATATGGTTTTAGCCGGAGCTGTTTCAACTTGGTATTTTACCAGGTACTAATTATACCAATTTAAATGACATAATTTAAAAAGATAAACATTTAGGAATAAATCTAATCTTGGAGATCCAATTTTATACAGCCATTATAATCTTATGAAATACCATTTAGGATCGATTAGTTTTGGGTCTTTATTAATAGCGACTATCATGTTTGTGAGGTTATTATTAGCTTTTTTACAAAAGCAATTAGTGAATAAGACTAATTCTTGTGCGAAGTATATGTTGAAATGTTGCCAATGTTGTCTTTATTGTTTTGAGAAGTTACTAAAATATATTAGTAGAAACGCATACATTGAAATAGGTAAGAATAAAAGTAAAATAGAAGTGATTTATTAATTTCACACAATTTTTAGCAATGTACGGCCAAAACTTTTATAATTCGGGAAAACGCGCGTTTCAAATTTTAGCAGCAAACAGTTTAAGAGTTGCTGTTATTAATTCCGTTGGGGATTTCGTGCTGTTTTTAGGAAAAGTATTAGTTGTTTTAGCTACAGTATTTATTGGAATTGAAATATTCGAGGTAACACCAATAAAATCACTTTAACAAATAATTTTTATTCTTATTTGCAGAGAAAAGAAGGAGTTCAACACATTTGGGTTCCTTTATTCGTTGTTGCAATCTTCACTTATTACATAGCTCATTGTTTTATTACAGTTTATGAAGTATACCACATAATTTAATTTTAATTTATTAAATAATTTTGATTAAAAACTTTTAGATGGCAATTGACACAATTTTTCTATGTTTTTGCGAGGATTGCTCTCAAAACGATGGATTATCCAAACCTTATTATATGTCAAAAGGATTAATGAGCTTCGTGGAAAATTCAAAAAAAATCATCGAAGAATCCAAAGCGAAATCGTGGGCTTAAAACGCATTACATAAAAATATTATAATTATTTTTGATGTATTAAGTAAGTAATTAAAAAAGATAATTTCAAGATAATTTTTTATTAAAGATTATTACGCATTACAATAGATACCTTGAGATAGTTTTCTCGAGAACAAAAACAAACTCGAATATCAATATATAAAATATACGTCAAAGTATAAAAAGCGTACGCGACTCGAACAAATTCCCGTACGTTCAAACGATGAAATATAGCATTATAAAATAGTAGATTAGATTATTATAGGTGTGGCGCGGCGTTGAACGTCCGCGGAACTTATTCGATTTGGGAACACAAAAACGTCTTTAGGTGATAGGGAGAGATGAGACGTTGGCGAAGCGTGGCTATTTCAACTTACAATTAAAAGTGGAATTCTCATGTTGTCCAAATGAGGTTCTCGTTTTCTTTTCATATCATAAGAATGACGCTTTTGATTGTTGTATCCTTAAGGAAAAATTGATAGTTCCTGAGGGGGTTTTGTTTTTTCTATTAACCAACTTGTTCCGCTTGGAGCTTTTTTTATCAAGTCGATAACACATTTTGCAACATATTCGGATCTAGAAAAATTAAGAAAAATATTTTTTTTTATACCTATACGAAATTAGTTCCCAATTATTATTTTAAATGTAGCAAGAGTAATGCTTAAGCGATTATGATGAACAATATCTCGTCAAAAAGTTTAATCCTTGGCTAATGCAAAAGTGGAAATGACCTGAAAATGCACATGAAAATAATACAAAAATGTTCTGCTTTGGGTGGTCATAACTCGTAAACGATGTGCTCGATTATCAAGATCTATACGTCATTCGATTTACCATAGTTTCTTCTATCGAAATCGCTAAAAACCCTGTCAAATTTGTTTGCCGTTGACCTTGTACAGCCCTGCGAACGACACCGTGTTCTGCTTGTTGTTTATACACGTATGGTTGTCCGCAATTCCGAGCACAATTTTATGCATTTGAGAGCAAAAGTGTAAAAGAGCAACAATATTGCTCTTAATAACATTTGCTACAACTTCTGTACTAAAACGTTTCTAATTCCGTGCGCTACCAACAAAATAAGTGTGGTTTTATTAATTTCATCTAATTTTCACCTTTTCGTTTTTTTTCTCGATATTTATGTATCTGAGAGCAAAAGTGTAAAAGAGCGATATTGCTAAGCATATAATTTGCTACAACTTTTATACTAAAACTTTTTTTCTAAAACGTTTCAAATTCCGTGCGCTACCAACATAATAAGTAAATCCACGATTTCATCTAATTTTTACCTTCTCGAACTTTTCTCGATATTTATGCATCTGACAGCAAAACTGTAAAAGAGCAATATTGTTAAAAATAAAGTTTGCTACAACTTTTATACTAAAACTTTTTTTCTAAAACGTTTCAAATTCCGTGCGCTACCAACATAATCAGTAAAACCACGATTTCATCTAATTTTCACCTTTTCGTATTTTTCTTGATATTTATGCATCCAAGAGCAAAAGTGTAAAAGAGCAATATTGTTAAAAATAAAATTTGCAACAACTTTTATACTAACAATTTTTTTCTAAAACGTTTCGAATTCTGTNATCGCTAAAAACCCTGTCAAATTTGTTTGCCGTTGACCTTGTACAGCCCTGCGAACGACACCGTGTTCTGCTTGTTGTTTATACACGTATGGTTGCCCGCAATTCCGAGCACGATTTTATGCATTTGAGAGCAAAGGTTTAAAAGAGCAACAATATTGCTCTTAATAACATTTGCTACAACTTTTGTACTAAAACTATTTTCTAAAACGTTTCTAATTCCGTGCGCTACCAACAAAATAAGTGTGGTTTTACTAATTTCATCTAATTTTCACCTTTTCGTATATTTCTCGATATTTATGTATCTGAGAGCAAAAGTGTAAAAGATCAATATTGTTAAGAATGAAATTTGCTACAACTTTTATACTAAAACTTTTTTTCTAAAACGTTTCGAATTCCGTGCGCTACCAACATAATAAGTAAAACCACGATTTCATCTAATTTTCACCTTCTCGAACTTTTCTCGATATTTATGTATCTGAGAGCAAAAGGGTAAAAGAGCAATATTGTTAAGGTNAGTAAAACCACGATTTCATCTAATTTTCACCTTTTCGTATTTTTCTTGATATTTATGCATCCAAGAGCAAAAGTGTAAAAGAGCAATATTGTTAAAAATAAAATTTGCAACAACTTTTATACTAACAATTTTTTTCTAAAACGTTTCGAATTCTGTGTGCTACCAACATAATAAGTAAAACCACGATTCCATCTAATTTTCACCTTTTCGAACTTTTCTCGATATTTTTGCATCTGAGAGCAAAACTGTAGAAGAGCAATATTGTTAAGAATAAAATTTGCTACAACTTCTATACTAAAACTTCTTTCCTAAAACGTTTCGAATTCCGTGCGCTACCAACATAATAAGTAAATCCACTCTTTCTTTTAATTTTTACCTTTTCAAAGATTTCTGGATATTTATGCATCCAAGAGCAAAAGTGCAAAAGTGCAATATTATTAAGAATAAAGTGCGCTACAACTTATATACTAAAACTTTTCGTCTAAAACGTTCCGAACCCCAGTTCTACCAACAAAATATGTAAAACCACGATTTCTTCTAATTTTTACCTTTTCAAACTTTTCTGGATATTTATGCATCTGAGAGCAAAAGTGTAAAAGAGCAATATTATTAAGAATAAAGTGCGCTACAACTTATATACTAAAACTTTTCGTCTAAAACGTTCCGAACCCCAGTTCTACCAACAAAATATGTAAAACCACGATTTCTTCTAATTTTTACCTTTTCAAACTTTTCTGGATATTTATGCATCTGAGAGCAAAAGTGTAAAAGAGCAATATTGTTAAGAATAAAATTTGCTACAACTTTTATACTAAAACTTTTTTTCTAAAACGTTCCGAATTCCGTGCTTTACCAACTACAAGATGTAAAACCACGATTTCTTCTAATTATCACCTATTCAAATTTATCTCGATATTTATGCATCTGGGAGCAAAAGAGTAAAAGAGCAATATTGTTAAGAATAAAATTTGCTACAACTTTTATACTAAAACTTTTTTTCTAAAACGTTTCGAATTCCGTGCGCTACCAACATAATAAGTAAAACCACGATTTCATCTAATTTTCACCTTCTCGAACTTTTCTCGATATTTATGTATCTGAGAGCAAAAGGGTAAAAGAGCAATATTGTTAAGAATGAAATTTGCTACAACTTATATACTAAAACTTTTCGTCTAAAAGGTTCCGAACACCAGCTCTACCAAGAAAATATTTAAAACCACGATTTCTTCTAATTTTTACCTTTTCAAACTTTTCTGGATATTTATGCATCTGAGAGTAAAAGTGTAAAAGAGCAATATTGTTAAGAATAAAATTTGCTACAACTTATATACTACAACTTTTCGTCTAAAACGTTCCGAACCCCAGTTCTACCAACAAAATATGTAAAACCAGGATTTCTTCTAATTTTTACCTTTTCAAACTTTTCTGGATATTTATGCATTTGAGAGCAAAAGTGTAAAAGAGCAATATTGTTAAGAATAATATTTGCTACAACTTTTATACTAAAACTTTCCGAATCCTATACACTACCAACAAAATATGTAAAACCACGCTTTCTTTTAATTTTTACCTTTTCAAACTTTTCTGGATATTTATGCATCTGAGAGCAAAAGTGTAAAAGTGCAATATTATTAAGAATAAAGTGCGCTACAACTTATATACTAAAACTTTTCGTCTAAAACGTTCCGAACCCCAGTTCTACCAACAAAATATGTAAAACCACGATTTCTTCTAATTTTTACCTTTTCAAACTTTTCTGGATATTTATGCATCTGAGAGCAAAAGTGTAAAAGAGCAATATTATTAAGAATAAAGTGCGCTACAACTTATATACTAAAACTTTTCGTCTAAAACGTTCCGAACCCCAGCTCTACCATCAAAATATGTAAAACCACGATTTCTTCTAATTTTTACCTTTTCAAACTTTTCCGGATATTTATGCATTTGAGAGCAAAAGTGTAAAAGATCAATATTGTTAAGAATAATATTTGCTACAACTTTTATACTAAAACTTTTTTTCTAAAACTTTCCGAATCCTATACACTACCAACAAAATGTGTAAAACCACTCTTTCTTTTAATTTTTACCTTTTCAAACTTCTGGATATTTATGCATCTGAGAGCAAAAGTGTAAAAGTGCAATATTATTAAGAATAAAGTGCGCTACAACTTATATACTAAAACTTTTCGTCTAAAACGTTCCGAACCCCAGTTCTACCAACAAAATATGTAAAACCACGGTTTCTTCTAATTTTTACCTTTTCAAACTTTTCTAGATATTTATGCATTTGAGAGCAAAAGTGTAAAAGAGCAAAACTGTTAAAAAAAGGTTGCTACAACTTTTATACTAAAACTTTTCGTCTAAAACGTTCCGAACCCTAGCTCTATCAACAAAATATGTAAAACCACGATTTCTTCTAATTTTTACGTTTTCAAATTCAAACTTTTCTGGAAATTTATGCATCTGAGAGCGGAAGCGTAAAAGAGCAACACTGTTAAGAATGAAATTTGCTACAACTTTTATACTAAAACTTTTTTCCTAAAACGTTTCGAATTCCGTGCTCTATCAAGAAAAGATGTAAACCCACGATTTCATCTAATTTTCATCTTTTCAAACTTTACTGGATATTTATGCATCTGAGAGCAAAAGTGTAAAAGAGCAATATTGTTAAAAATAAAATTTGCTTCAACTTTTATACTAAAACTTTTTTTCTAAAGCGTTTTGAATTTCGTACGCTACCAACATAATAAGTAAATCCACGTTTTCATCTAATTTTCATCTTTTCGATCTTTTCTCGATACTTATGCATCTGAGAGCAAAAGTGTAAAAGAGCAATATTGTTAAAAATTAAGTTTGCTACAACTTTTATGTCAAAACTTTATTTCTAAAGCGTTCCGAATCCCGTGCTTTACCAATACAATATGTAAATACCATGATTTCATCTAATTTTCACCTTTTCTCAATATTTATGCATCTGAGAGCAAACATTTAAAAGAGCAATATTGTTAAGAATAAAGTTTGCTACAACTTTTGTACCAAAACTTTTTTTCTAAAACGTTTCAAACTTGTGCTGTATCAACATTTCACGATTTCATCTAATTTTCACATTTTCGAACTTTTCTCGATATTTTTGCATCTGACTTCTGAGAGCAAAAGTGTAAACGAACAACATTGTTAAGAATAAAGTTTGCTACAACTTTTGTACCAAAACTTTTTTTCTAAAACGATTCAAACTTTTACTGTATCAACAAGATGTAAACCCACGATATCATCTAATTTTAACATTTTCAAACTTTTCTCGATATTTATGCATCTGACTTCTGAGAGCAAAAGTGTAAACGAACAATATTGTTAAGAATAAACTTTGCTACAACTTTTGTGCCAAAACTTTTTTTCTACACTGAGAGAAATAGATTGTACGAATCGTATTATAGAAAAAATATTATACATGCAGCAATTCATTGTATTATATTCATTATATTTATATGCTTCAGTACAATCTCGTCTCGCTGTCACTAACGTATTAAATATTATATTACCTTATAGTATATTTTTAGTGCATAGTACAATCCATTTCTGTCAGTGTAAAACGTTTCAAATCCATGCTGTAAAAACAATATGTAAAACCACGATTCATCCAATTTTCGAAATTTTCTCAATATATATCCGCGAGCAATATTGTTAAGAATAACTTTTATACTTAAACATTTTTTCTAAAATGTCCCGAATCCGTGCTTAGATTAATTAATTTTTTTTTTATTGTAAACGCGGTATCATTTTGAGGGCTGTACAAGGTTAATAGGAAAGAATTGAGATAGGATATTTTGTGATTTCATTAAAAGAAACTACAGCGAATCGAATAACTTATAGATCTCGATAATGCAGGTAATTTTTGTATTATTTTTGGCAATATTTCGGCGTTTCAGCAGAATCTGAAAGAGATTTTGAATCATTTCCACTTTCATATTGGCCAAGGATTAAGCTTTCGAATAAGATATTTAATTGGGAGCTAACAAAATTGGATTCGTATAAGTTATTCTTATACATTATTTAAATATATTTACTTGACCGGGATGGTTTCAGAAATATCTTTTTTCCACGCCTGCTCATATTCACCACTTAAAAGCCTCTTTCTCGAATCGCCGGATAACACTACTCGTTCTGGAGGAGTTGGACAAACGGATATAACACGTACTCCGGTTAAATTCATATGGTATGGATCACCGTAGCTTCGAGTCAGGGCGGCGACGGCGTGTTTGGTAGCCGTAAAAACCGGAAGCGAAACGAGCGGATGGCTGCTACAGCTGGAACCGCCGTTTACGACAACACCACCCGAACCTCCCCTGTCTTTACCCAAAAACCGAAACGCCAGGAGCAACCCTCGTATCACCCCGTTCTGAAATTTAATCACGTTATAGAGCGATCAATGGAACGTGCTTCTAATTAATTTCACAAACCAAATTTACGTCCACCTCTAACTCCCAAAGCCTATCGTTCATTACGGACGCGTTGTTTATAACTATATCGACACCTCCTAATTTTGATATAGTCGTTTGAAAAGCCTCTATATAAATTTAAAAAAATATTTATTTAAAACGATTAAATTAACAAATTTTTACCATCATATTGTTGATAATCAGTAACATCACATGGACAAAATATTACGCTATCTTTTCCGTCTTTCGCTAATTCATGCAATAAATCTTCGCCAAGTTCTGAGTTTATATCGCAAATGGAAACCTAAAATTAAAATTTAATTTATATTTGAAAGCTTATTAAAATTTTCTTTCCTCTTATGGTCTCTAAAATGGTTTATCTCGCCTCACCTTACATCCATGTTTTAGTAGCTCTATACAATATTCCCTGCCATACCCTGAGGCGCCTCCGGTCACAAGGGCTACTTTTCCTTTCAGGTCCATCCCCTATTTCTCTTGCACACGTTCCTACGTTTCCACTTGAACTAATAACTACTATTATATCGGATTTAATCGTCGAATTCTGTTCGATACAGACTATCCCAAAAAAACGTTTGTGGTATCGACAGGCTCTGTTGAGGGGGGTTAACAGTACTGACGTCGTTGTACGATCGGAGGTGACCGCACCCTAAGCGTCGCGACGGCGTAAAGGCTGCTTTATAGTTCATATAAAAGGAGGGTTCATAGTAATAAAGTAAAACACATTTTTCTATAATTTTTACTTATACAATTTAATACATTAAAACACTTTATTATTAACCAGCACATAATAATTATTGAAATCCTTAAAACTCGATATCAACATTTTTTTTTAAATTACCATGGTCTATACATTCCCAAATAACTATTACAATTCGGACAATAATGATACGTGTTTTTGCAACTGTTCATACAATACGGTAAAAGACAACACGGCCAACATCCACAAATACAAAGTGCTAAAGCAGCGAAATGAGTCATATTCGATCGTTGGTTGGTGGTTTGCGTGATTATGTAGGTACCACATCTTTGACAAGCGGCTGGCATAGGATCCGGACCCCATAAAAGATCTACAATTACTATCAATTACTATATACATTTCTTAAGAAAAAATTGTGTCTAATAGTCAACCTTGTTAATGCTTATGATAATTTATGTAGTGATGAGTTGGGTGCATAAAAAGTAATTAATACGAAATATTTTATTTCGGGATGAAACCAAATATCCTGAATACCATGGCCCATGGCAATGTATTTAAGTCATTCTGATTAGCATATTAAGTAGCATATTACGTGCGTAGTGATACCTAAGCTATCTCTCTAACTGTCTAACATCGAAAAGAAAGAATTCTTTCAAAACATAGAATTTAATGATCCTCCAGTACACAGGTCTACAATCTTGTATATTGGGTTACATACATTTTAGTACCTTCGCACAATTATTAAGTTTAGTATACTGTTACGTCTTGATGTGTACAGGGTGTCCAAATTTCGATGGGTTTGCAGGGTATCTCAGTTATTATGAAAGATAGAAACTTGCGGCTTTCGCGAACCTGAGCTACTTTTTTGTGAAACTTACAATGGCGCAAACCAAATTTATGAAGCCCTCTTTGTTTTTGATATACAGGGAGTGTTTCAAAATTTACGATTTTCAGACACCTCTTGTATCTCGGCTATCCGGGTTTTAATAGATTTTTTCACGTAGAATCCAATGGTGCACGTAGAATTTTTCTAATCATCACGGTTTTTGAGTTATAAAGAGCTGAGTATTTTAGAAGTTGAGTACTCAGTAGCTGAGTTGTGTTTATAACTCAAAAACCGTGATGACTAGAAAAATTCTACGTGCACCATTGGATTCCACGTGAAAAAATCTATTAGAACCCGTTTTTACTTTCTTACTACGTTTCCGGATAGCCGAGATACAGGAGGTGTCTGAAAATCGTAAATTTCAAACACTTCCTTCGCGAAAGCTGCAACTTTCTATGTTTCATAATAACTGAGATACCCTGCAAACCCATCGAAATTTGGACACCTGTACAGTCATGTCTTCAGGAACTTTTTTTGCGACTGTAATCCATACATGTCCTGCGACAAATAAGCTTTTTCTACAAAATAGAATTGCCAAATACCTATGCTCACTATATTTTCAGTTTATAATGGCCAAAAGAAAAAGAGGATTATACGGGAGCCTACATTATGAAAGAGTTTTGATACAATGTTACAATTTAGAGGACCAGGAAGAACCAATTATCGAATTATCTTATAAAGGTGAACTTATAGCAAACGAGAGATTCCAAACATTTACTATAAGAGCAATCAGGTTCAGTGCAGCCGCGCTTAATCCAAGATATAGATATTCAGATTTTGAGTAGGACGAAGTTAATATTGGCACTTTTATGTGCTATATGAGCAAAGATCATAGAACTAAATTGAGCAAAACTTCTACAGCAACTTGTGGAGGAGTTTATGCAACATTGCTTTGCAACAACCAGGGCTAAAAGGATACACAAAAACAGAACTTGATTGCCTTACGTACTTTTTGAATAGCAATGGACAAAAAACCATAACTATTATGGTTTGTAGAATAACTATTTATTTTGTACATTGCCGGTGTCGTCAAATCTGGAAGGCATAATATCAAATGTATGACAATGATGTCAGCAGAGGTATAGGTACTAAGACCAAGGATAGTAGAATCTAACAGGACTGCTACATCCATTGTATTTTTGTATACTCTGTTTTTAAACCAGGAGGAGTATTTTAAATTTGTCACCAGATTGACCATGCACGTGATTGGTAGAATGCGAGGAAGGTTCACACACAAGCAATTTTGAATTTGAAAGTTAGGTTATTGACAATTCGACAGTTTTGTGTCATTGTTGTAAATTTTGTTTAAACCCTTTTGCGTCTTCAATTTAATGAGTGAAATCTGTTCTTTTTAGAACAAGGTATGGATCGTGACCCTAATAGCCGTTCACAACAAATTTCACAATAATAAGTAAATAAATAAATAATAATAATTATTAATTTAAATTTACCGCCAAAATATCTAGTGATATTTTCTGGTGATTTTTCCTAGTGTAAATCTGACTTTCGCGTTTACTCCTCCTGGTTTAAAAACAGAGTATAGTTCTNTGTTGTAAATTTTGTTTAAACCCTTTTGCGTCTTCAATTTAATTGAGTGAAATCTGTTCTTTTTAGAACAAGGTATGGATCGTGACCCTAATAGCCGTTCACAACAAATTTCACAATAATAAGTAAATAAATAAATAATAATAATTATTAATTTAAATTTACCGCCAAAATATCTAGTGATATTTTCTGGTGATTTTTCCTAGTGTAAATCTGACTTTCGTGTTTACTCCTCCTGGTTTAAAAACAGAGCATAGTCCACGGGTTGGTTACCCGCACTCTACGTCACACTATTTGCCACGCCTGGTAACTGTTTGTGTTTTTAGAGGATATATGATAGACGTTAATACGTCTAAAAACATAAAACTTCAAAAATAATATGAATACGTCTACGACATAATCTCTAAAAATACACAGCAAACGCATAGACTATAACAACAGCTGGGCGTGGAAAATGGTGTGACGTAGTTTGCGGGAAGGTTGTCACATCAATGGATGTAACAATCTTGTTAGTTTCTACTGTACTTGACTGAGACTATATTCTTACAATCGTTTCCGTTTTTTGATGAGATGTATGCATGTTGATGATCCCCATAGCTCTCATGTCATTAGAGAGAATGTTTTCAATGGTCTCAATCCTTTTATGTTGGGCTATATATAATCATTGACAGATAAATTTTCTTGTTCTTGTGGTTGGTAAATCCGATGTGTATCCGTTAAAAAATCTGCGTAACGTTTTGTTTCTCAACGTTACGCAGAAATAAGTGTCAGGGAAGCATGTTTCATACTCTTTCCATACTGTATCATACGCACCTGTCAAATCCTCAAAGACCATGGATGTTTTAAGGACATGTTCCAACGCCTGCTTCGTTGTGTTCTGAAACTAGCTTGTTCGACGGGTATAATTTCCAAGATTTTGCGACCAATGCTATTTAGGATAAGCCTTATAGCTGCAACTCAATAATGCGATAGCACGATAACTTTCGGCTTGCTCCAGAGGTTTATTCGGTTTTAAGATGGTTATTATTTTGGATCTCCTGAAAGCTCTCGGTAAATGACCTATTAGTAGTATGTGAGTATAGAACTTAGCTAACTACCGAAGGCATCCCCGTCCAAGATGAACAAGAAATTCAGGATTCATCCGATCACAACCTAAGGATTTATCAGATTTAATATCTTTCAGGACCTCCCTTATCTCATTTATTGTAAATTTTTTCGAAAACTGGGAGCTGCTAGATGCATTTTGCCACAAGGTTTTAAGTGATGGAGTTCTGGATAGTGATATCCTTGCGTTCTACTTGCGATTTGGTTTGTAGTTACCAAATTTGGTCTGTACCAAGGCTACTCTCGTGAAGCAGATAAGCTCGCGTCCAGGATGCTGCACGTGTACCCTGGGTAACGCTAAACGAGCTAGAACAGTTGGTAGTCAGACTAATCGTGGGGTTTCTTGACTAAAGACACATGGAACTTAGTCAAATACCAGATGGTCTTGAACAGGACCATATAACAAAAAACCTAGAAAACACTCTCCAGAATTGCCAACCTAATATAGTAGGAATTAGCATCGCTAAGTGTCAATAATCTGTCAACATTTTTCGAGAAAAAATGACATAGACCTGGCTGTCACTCAACAAACCTAATGTAATATTTGAAAACATTGTCAAGAGGGACGAAGATAAAAAGGAAACGAAAAAATAACTAAGGCTAAAAGAAGAAGATAGAATAAGAAATAGAAAGAACACTAAGATGGGTCACACTTTATGGAGAAGAGAGGAGACCGTCTTCATATGGACCTGTGGTGTTTATATTGTCAGCGACGTAGCTACTGTATTAACTCATTATCGACCATTTGTTGTATTCCCGTAGTAATGCTGCACTTTATCATCAGAAAAATGCTTATTACTTAGGTATATGTGCAATGTTGTGCAATCCCAACATATTAATTATTTGACAGTAACTAATTTTTTAAATTGTGCATATTGTGAGTCTCCACTACATTGTAAACAATAAATCAGTTTAAAGTACATCTTCTAAGCTTGAAGTATGCTCAATCTAAAATGCACAGAAGTGCTGAGATACAGTAATATCTGGACCTTTGGTTTCTGGGGTGTTCCCGGCATTGTAATATTTTGACGTAAACAATAACATATATTTATATGTCCAACAATTGAACACATAACTAAAAACGTATGTAAGAAAATAAAAAATTTTAGCTGACCAATATTTATCTGGATTATGCTACCAGACTTATTTCTTTTTAGTACAAATGGAAAATCAATTCAATTTGGGGTGTTACTAAACATACTAAATTGTATTATGATATAGTAATAACTCAGTCTAACTTCAATTTAGTCCCATTCAATAATATTATAGAATAAAAACAAAACATTTAAGGAACTAATTATTATAAATGCGTTGCAAACACTTCGTTGATGAAGTAATTCTCGAAGCATTATCACTTTTTATACAACTCAACATCGGGAAAGTTACAATTCCCAATAAATCTCAATCATATTAGTGATTAATAAAATTCATAAGCATAACTTGGTTACAATAAATTATGATTATCTACGACTACCTGAGTCCACAAGAACCGGTCGATAATAATGCCCTTGAGCTTCGGCGTAAGTTGGCGGTGGGGCGGGACTAATAAATGGGGCAGAAGGTTCTAAAGCATCAGCTCTTCTTCCAAAAAGTCTTCTATGAGATGTTCTACTTGGTCCTATTCTCATAACTGCTGAATATGATGGTGGGGCTCCTTCCAAAGGTGGCTCTCCAACGATAGGTCTTGGTGGGATAAGTGAAGGACTAATTTGAACTTCCGCCGAAGTTGTTTCTGCAACTGCATCACGCGAATATATTCCGGTCGCGTTTTCTATAGTTACCGGTTCCGGCGGAGTACTTTGGGTAGCTGTGTCGATTTTTGGTAAAAAATCCCGAGTTGAAAATCTCGCATCCCATTTCTTTTCAAAATTCGGCACTTCGGAAAGATGGGACATACTTTGAAGTAGAAAACATTTTAACGCGGTATTTGAAAAACATGATTGCGATTGCCTTAACGTTCGTACGGAAGACGTCATCGAGTCGAATTGACTTGGTAACAATACCGAAATCTGTTTCTCTTTGTAAGTGTGCTCACACCTCGCCAAAATCTCATCGAACGTTGTATTCGCAATGATACTCTTGCTATCGTTGGAACTTTGTGGATCTTGCTGAGTATCATTTTTACTTGAGTGTGCAAAAGATTTATCGTGCTTTCCAATACGAAAGTTTTTTTTTAATGTTATTGAATTATGGGCTGGTTTTGTAGATTCCAATAAAATTTCTTCGCTATCTTTTGAAGTACTCGGTTGGTTTGCTGCGTTTTCGTCTTTTGATTTAGAAGGTTTATCATTATCGCTCATCCTACGAATTTCACATTTTGACAATCGATTTAGATGTCTCTATGACACTGACAATTCTTTAGAATTATCAAATATGATTATTAACCTTCCAGTACACGCGGTTACGCAGTCACACGCGCCAGACTAAGTTTGCAATTGCTGATAGAAATAATCGCCAGGCAAGAGATGGCGTTAGTTAGAAGTTAGTAAATTTAAAATTTTTTATCTAAATTTTATTATTTACTTTTTTGTATTAACTCCATATATGACCCTAAAGTTTTGAAAATGAAATGCTCGCAGAAAAATTAAAGTAATAGTGCGCCGCGGCTGGTGTCATTCCGTGATTTTCACAGTTTTAATGCTGATGCTTTCTCATCCGATCTTACAAGTTAAGTAAGTTAGTGCTATTCCCTGGCATCATGTAACTCAATTCAGCAGTATTAGTGACAAAGTTGACTTTATAAATTCTCATATACTTTCGCTGTTTCATGTGCATGCCCCGGTGCGTACTGTTATTCTGCGTCGTAAACATAAGCCATGGATAACAGATAATATTAAGTTGCTGTTTAAACTGAGGAATAAGGCATATTCTAAATATAGATCCCAGCCAAATGAAAGCAATTTTAATTACTATAAACAATTGCTAATTATGCAAATGGTGCCATTAGGAGGGAGGGCAGGCGTGCGCGAAAGATGTGGAGTACTTTTGCATCCCTGGGGCTATCCCTGCAAGAAATCGTTCTATTCCCGATCACATCGGTACTGTAGATTCAATTAACAATTTTTTTCTGTCAACCCAAACATATCATCATGGCAATGCTGATATGATTTCCGGTCTTTACTCTAATGTCATACCACAAGTAAGCGAATGTTTTCAGATTTCTTTTACAGATGAGGAAGAAATATGTAAAACCTTGAACGATATTTAAAGCAATGCTGTTGGTGCCGATGGGGTCAGTCTTAGAATGTTACGTTTGTGCTGTCCTGTGATCTTGCCCTTTCTGTGTCATATCATTAATTGGTGTATTGAATTTTCGGTATTCCCTGAGCAGTGGAAGCTTGCTGTGGTTGCGCCGGTTGCAAAATCCAACAATCCCAAGGAGCTGAATGATTTAAGACCCATAAGCATTTTATCAAATTTATCTAAGATTTTTGAAAAGATTGTTGCTGTTCGCGTGAGGTCATTTTTACAGTTAGTCAATATCTTGCCTCAACGGCAGTCAGGCTTTAGGTCAGATTTTAGTTGCACTACTGCATTATTGGATGTTGTGGATGATATCATTCGGGAACGTGATGATAGGTATGCTGCTGCTCTCGTATTGTTGGACTTTTCTAAAGCCTTCGACACAATACACCATGCAACCTTACTTGGTTTGTTGCACCATGTTGGCTTCTACGATGCTGCTGTGGGTCTGTTTAGATCTTATCTGCTAGGTCGCGCACAAGTAGTCAGGTTTAACAATTTAAAATCTGAAAAACTTCAAATTGTGTCAGGTGTTCCTCAGAGTTCAGTTTTGGGTCCGATTCTGTATTTAATTTACACTTACCGTCTTTGCACAGTTTTGCAACATTGTTCAGCGTATATGTATGCTGATGATACCCAACTATTACATAATTTTCAAATTAATTCTATTAATTCTGCACAAGAACAGTTAAATTCGGATTTGGCAGCGCTTATCGGAGAAGCTATTAAACTTTGTTTGCAAATAAATCCTAAAAAATCAGTTGTTCCATTGTTTGGTAATGACAACATTATTGAATCAATTGGAGATGATTTTAGTGTCGTCATTGATGAAAATAAGCTTAATGTTGTTAAGGAAGGACGTAACTTGGGCATTATCTTGGATAGCAATTTGAGGTTTAGAAGACATGTCAGTTTGTTATTGCAACGAGCTTATTCTACTCTTAGATTGTTATATAGTGAGACCCTTGTGTTGTCCCTATTTAATTTCGGTGATGTGCTCTATCATCCTTGTCTGGATAGTGTGGATGTTTCTAGAATTCAAAGAGCGCAAAATGCGTGTTCATTTATGGTTTGCGTAGGCGAAGTCGAGTATCACACTTTCTGGATAGGGTTGGTTGGCTCAGTATGTCACGGAGACGTGAACTTCATTCGATATGTTTGTTCCGACGCATTATTCTGTACAAATGTCCACCTTATCTATATGATAAAATTCGATTTCGCACTGATGTGCACATCAGTGTTAGACATCATCATTGGTTAGACATACCACGGCATAAATCTCAACTTTTTAAGAGATCATTTTCATATTGTATTGCTAATTTGGTTAATAAATATGTAGACGTCATGACTGATACAGGTGGAATGAGCGCTTTCACTTTTAAGAAGAGCTTAAAACATTAGCTACTTCAACAGCAGAGGGATTTCAGCTAAGGCAACCCAATTGAAACTTATATAAATTTAAAATTGTTAGGTGTATAATTTTATTGTCTTAAAATGTTATACTATATTTGTTTTTTTTTTATATCATATTATATCAAATACCTGCGTCCTGTTTCTCTTATGTATTATTATTATTTTCTTGCATTTTTTTTTGTTTATTTTTTCTTGTTTTTCAAAATTTTCAAGGGTCGATGGAAAGCAATAGTAATCTCTTTTTGACAACTTTTGAAGTTACGTTTATTTTTTTATTTCCTTTTATTTTGTGAATTGTAATCTCTGTATGAGTTGTCAATAAATATTATTATTATTATAAGCTATCAGAAAGAGCAATACAAAACCAGAAACATTCGGATTTAGCCGCACGTCTTTCAAGACGGCTAAACCCAAATGATTCTAGTACTAGATCTTATGTTAGTTTTAGTGAGAATGCTAGTGCAAAACTAGAACTAACACAAGACCTAGAACTAGAATCATTTGGATTTAGCCGTCTTGAAAGACGTGCGGCTAAACCCAAATGATTCTAGTTCTAGGTCTTGTGTTAGTTCCAGTGATAGTGCAAATGCAAAACTAGAACAAGCTGGACTTCGGGTTTTAGGTCTTGTGTCAGTTCTAGTCTGGTGTTAATAAAATATGAGTGATGAAATTCTATTGGTCTTCTATTGGTTTGTTTTATTGAACAGAAACTTATTTTGATACATAAAATGATAACGATACGAGTTATTTCCCAGACAAATTGTGTATTTAATTATATTTCATTAGACAGTATAGAAATATAAAATTTACATTCAGACGTACAGTTGTTTGATGATATTTAAAATGCGCGGAAGACATTTATATTTCCTAGGAGGGGGTTTGTTTAACTTGATGGTCGCATTTGCAAATTTTTGCACCGTATTCATTTGAGTCGATCGGACACGATTGACAAATACGACCGTCTTTTCTATTGTAAGTGCCCAAGAAATAACCACACTCTTGACAAAATAAATACATAACATCACTTCCACCCAGTAGAAAAGGTAAGAAACATAACGGCCAACAACCTACCAAGCAAAGCGTTCCAAAAGAATTTCGAGAAACCTAAAATAAATGTTAAAAGAAAATTTAAAATGAAATAAAAAGAATTTTATGTTTCACCTTATTACGTTGTTTTCTTATTAAAGGAAGTCCTACTTTGCCGCAATTAGGACACTCTTGTGCTACAGCACCTTGTTTCCAACTTTCAACTAAAAAAATAATGTTAAAATCTTTTAAAAGTAAATTTATAAAACTTTAATAACCGGTTGTTTTATAAGCTTTCTTATGACCACGTTTACGTTTATCAGTATTACAACTACATGAACAATGTTCGCATTTACATTCACAAACATTTTTGTTTTCTGTTTGTGGGATTCCGCCAAATGAGAAATGAGTGATTGGTTCTTCGTGATGTTTCTCTAATAAATGTCTTCCAAATGCATTTACATCATCCGGTTTATAACACAACTGTTCCCCGCATATTTGACATTTTCCTACAGCGGATGCCATCTGGAATAACACCAATTTTTATTTGAAAATTGATTTTACTTAAAATAAGCACTCAAGAACTTACGTGTTACGTTATCATTTTTTTGTGATAGCTGAGATTTCTTAATGGCTCCTAACCACAACTTGAAGTGATTAAAGTGTGTTAATGATGTGTGTTTTTACTTTATAATTTTCGTATATTATCGGCATGCCGAAATTCTTGTACGAGCGTTTCTGCTGGATTGTCAAACTACTGTCATGTGTGTGTGTCACAAATTGATTATTTAATATCCCAAAAGAACTACTACTAACTTAAAGATTTTGGTAAAAAAATCGGGATTTAGAAATTTTAACTGATCTGATCGCAATGGGGGCAATAAAGTTCCGACTTAAATTTTGGATGCACGTAAGGGATAAAGAACAAACCGATAGGACACAAAAGCAGGGACAATATAAACTTTTTGCATTCGTTAGGATCCCTAGATTGAATTTTGTTTCCACACACTGGACACTGATGAGCAATTCTGTGCATTATGAAAATCGTCGGAAATGAGTGAATGAACTTATAGTGTATGCGTTCGACATGTTATGATGTCAAACTGATTGGGATTTTATTTTGACAGTATTTGTAAATTGTTCAATTCAACTTACGGAATTAAATGTATAAGCAAAAGGATGTAATGAAAACGGAATCGTTAAGCGGAAATCGCTATAAAACGTACTGCTGTTGTTGTTGTAAATGTGAACGAAATTACCCCGAAATAAAAACCTATTACCTTCCCAAATATTCGTTCGTCACCGATTGTCCAAATTGTCACATGGCTCAAGATACAAAAATTCGTCGAATAAATACCAAAAAAGTACATATATTTGCACTCGTTTTAGCTCCTCTTGGGCTGTGTTTGGTACCTTATTGTTTACCAACTTGTAAAAAAGTAAGGCATTATTGCGCTACATGTGGAATTTATCTTGGTACTTGTGCTGGTCCATTTTATAATAGCAAGAAAAAAAGGAAAGAAGGAAAAAATTATATTGTTTGATGTATTTGTTTTTAATCATGGTTTTTATTTTTTTAATTAAAGATGCTTAGAAACTTACAACAGTTTTGCTTAATTATTGATTTAATTAATGGTAATATTCACCTATCAGTAATACAGAATTTACCAAAATGTCCTAATTAGTTCAATTGGTTCTACTCTATTTAGACTTTCATCTTCACAAAACCTCCTGAAGAGATGAGGAACCCTAGAAACCTGATTAACCTCATCTGAGATGCGGTAACTAATCCGTATGAAGTTACGGAATCTTCAAAGAAGCCTCGGATGGGATGAACTAATCGAAGACTACTCTGGCAACGAAACATGGAAATGATTTTGGGATCTTGAAACTTCAGAAATCTCCTAAAATTCGGAATCCAAAAACAAATTTTTCGTTAATAAAACTTAAAGTTAATAGCTATACAAGAAACAAGATGGACAAACGCAAGTATGGAAAACCATGGTGCAACAAAGAGTATGGAGTAGCCTTTATTGTAGCCAACAGCATCAAGAGCAACAATAAAGCTAAGTTTCCACATGCACGGATTACTGGCGCCAGTTCATTTGCATGTTTAAATAGCAAAAAACCACTGGCGCCAATAAATTGGTGCCTGTAATCATAGCGCCAATAAAGTTGACGCTACTTCTACTTTTTGGCGCCAGTAACAGTATTTGTAAAGAAAACGTGTAACTATTAACGTGTTCGTCCAACTAAAATGAACAAATCTGCTAATAAACCGTCCAAAAATGGTCATCAGAACACACAGTACTATTTCTAGAAACGTATGAACAATATCCATGTTTGTGGAATCAGAAAATTCCACAATATAAGGACCGATTAGCACGAAATGAAGCTGTCAGAAGGATAGTTGAAATTATGAAGAAAACAGTTCCTAATTTTGAAACTTCGAAACCTAGGCAAAAGCAAAAATACGAAGATGTACACCAAATACAATTGAATCCCATAAAGTACTTCACCATAAAGGACTTCACATATAAATTTAAAAATTGTGCTTTTTGGCAAACGATATATATATTGCAAGAATGAAAAAGAATCTCCAGAAGCCAAAAATCTTAATGTTGCTTGCAGTTTTATGTGAGCTGGAATGGCGTCTCCCATAAGCGTATGTGGTTTTTGTATTTTAGAGGATACTTGATTCAACAAAAACATGAAACTCTCTTCAGTCATTCTTAAATGATTAAAAAATGCTTGCTGACCTTCATGGCATAATTCTCTAATTAAAGTACTAGACGCACCTAGGTTATTTCTACGTGCAATCCACGATCTAACCCAGCAACTATGTTTTCCCTTTTTTTGTTAATAACGTGTGCAGTTGCAAGGAGCACATTTGGACTACCATATTGATGCCAGCGCGAAGTACAGTACTTGACGCCATTTTTATTACTGTGCCAGTGCACAATTATAACATTTATGTGGAAACAACTTGTACTGTTTTTACATTTATGTGGCTTCGTACTGACGCCAGTAATCCGTGCATGTGGAAACTAACAATAAGCTTAAGAATAGCGAAAAAATCTTTAGACATGAATGCCAAAATAGAAAAGGAAACAGATTACTGTTTCTGCAAAACAAATAAAACGGGACAATGCTGATAGACTTCTCTACAAGCAAAAGCAATATAATAAGTTCAACATGTCTTCCACACAAATCCATTCACAAAGTAACGTGGACATCACCAAATACGTTTTGGTCTATGACTTATAGTATTGCTAGCTTTGTGCACAAAATTGTAATGTATTGCCATAAAATTTGCATACTGTATTAGCGCCATTTTCCCAATACATTGTCTCACCCAGTACACACTTATACATTGTTATTGTGCTATATTTATTTTACTTGCATCATTACTCTGTGTTCATATATTCTACGATTTCCTTCCAATATACGATTACTCGTCAAGTAAAATAAAGCATTTCGAGGACTCAAAAATCTATCTTTTGAGTTGGAATTTTATTTAATCAAAAAACTAATCATTTTAATCATTTTGAAAATTTGGCAACCTCATTTACACTACTGTATAATTGGTTGCATAATTCGACGTTAATAAATTAAACATTACTTCCTAGCAAAAATGGAATTTATTTGTATTATATTAGTTACATTATATAGTATATACAGTCGCATATATTCTATAAATAAACTATATTTTATCTATTTAACAATATATACACACGTGTAGACATCTTTATCATTTGGAAAAATATAAATAGTTATTAATTGAGAGTATGGACGAAGCCGGATAACCGTTCTAAGTTGATTTGGGGTTTAAATTTATTTAAGATTAATATCTTTTAAGTCCACTTTTATCATCTTTCTGTAAAGTTAACCAACGGGTTATTACCCTAAGTATTTAACCGCAGTATAGGTGTTTTAAGCGTTCTAAATTTTACAAGAAGATGTTGAAAGCGACCATTAGGAGAGACTTTACATATAAGTCATTATTTAAAAGTCTTGAAAGTTTTGAAGATGAAGTATTTTCTTCTGCTGATCGTTTTTTAACATTGTGACTCATTCCTTGGTACTCCCAATTGTTGGAGGACTCGTTGCTCTATTTGCTGAAATAAATACAAAAAAAACAAAAATACAAAATCTTAACATTTTAATTTATGTTGCGTGTATTAAATTATTTACGGAAAGTTATTCACATGCTATTAATCACAATATACAAGTGTTCTTGAATTGCAGATGTGCGAAGGATCCAGATTCTAAACGCAAAATGATTTTCAAGAAGTCAAAGGTCAAGGAGATTGATTGCTTACTTCCTTGATAATGTCTCATTGACACTCACTGAGATGGTTACCGTGATAGTAAATAGGTTGCGAAAATTGATGGGGTTAAAAGTGAACTGGGATAGACACCTACTCTTTGACTATCTACGAGTACAAACAGCTTCTCTATCTCACTGAAGTCTGCCCAAATATACTTAACTGCTATTAATTCAACGACTAATGCGATAAATGACTCCAATAATCTCAATTAAAGCATTGCGATCTCCCTTGATAGTCTAAAAATAATATTCATGCCGTATTAGAGTAAAATGGCTGAAATAATGTCGTAAATAATGAGGACGATTGGCTAAAAAGACTATTAAGAAAGCACCAATATCGCCAGAGTCACATGTAGTTGATCAGTGTTGTCCAAAATGAAATAAGACCCAAATTGGAAAATGGATATCCAATTTATGGACAGGTCAAAAGAGATCACCATCTTATATATCTAAAAGAATCTATCTATGATGTCATTCAGGAGTATTATTGGTATTGGAAAGAATATTTGGAAAAGTCTTCAGGGGAAAGAAATTTATATTTGAGTCTTTAATAAGAAGTGACATTCCTGAATATACAATATTGAAAAAATGAAGTTGGAGAGAATGAGAATTTAAATGGAGATAAGAGCGATTACGTATATGTCTAACAGTGACATGTAGAAGGACAAGATCGGCTTAAGTGGAACAGGCAACACATAAACAAATACAAAGGTGGAGCTATAATGATGGAGCAAAATTATCTGGAAGCACATGCAACCAAGAGTACCATTCCTCACGTAGATTGTTTTAGTGATTCATCAGACAATTCATCAAGCCATCAAGATATAAAACTTTATAATCAACGCAAATAATCAATAATCTAATAACCAATCGAGAAGATAAGTTTTAATTATTAGAAACATTTGGACGTTTTGGAATTCGCCCATCAGCAACTTTAGTTATCAATGGAATTAGACAAGATGCTAGTGCATTCCGCAATTGAACCTCGGTTTGGATGTCTTCAAAAAGCATTAATTCTGTATGTTGAGGAATCTCCCAAACAACGTTGGGATGTGCCTGGATATTGAAGGATATTTAAGGCAGTCTGGAGGACTGTAAAAACTAATATTAAGGGATGTCCAGAATAATTTGAGAAGGACAAATCTGATATGACGTTGTGAGATATCAGAGATTATATTGAGGAGTTTCTAGAACGATGTTAAGGGTTGTCTTAGACGATGTAGAAGGCTATTTGTGGCTATGTCAAGAAGAAGAAGACGATGTCGAAGGCATCTAGTATGATATAAGATACCACAGATCGTAATGAGGAATGCCCGAGACAATGTTGAAGTGTATCAGAGATGATCTTGAATGGAACGATATAGAGGGCTATTTGGAACTATGATATTGAAGACGTCTGGGATAATACTATAAGAGATCATGCTGAGGAATGCGCGAGTTAATATTGACGTGTGTGAAGGATGATATTAAAAGGGATGGCCATTACGATTTTGAAAGGTATCTGGAATGATATTATAACACGTCGGAGATTATATTGAGAAATATTCGGGCCGATGTTGAGGTCTGCTAGGGATAATGTTGGGGGATGTCAGAAACGATATAGAGGGTTGTCAGAAACAGTACCGAGATAAGAGCGATTACGTATATGATAAAGACATGATAAAGGAAGGATAAAGAGACAGTGGAATTATTACAAGATTTTGGGGGAATGATCAAAGCAGATTAGAGCAGGCACGCGATAGAAACGAGTATTATATCTAAAAGTGTGCAAGAAACTGAATGGAAATAGACATGTAGAAGGATAAGACGGCTTAAGTGGAACAAGCAAGATACATAGACAAATACAAAGCTATAATGATGAATCAACATTATCTGGAAGCACATGCAATCATGAATACCATTCCTCATGTAGATTGTTTTGGTGATTCATCAAACAATTCCTCGGGCCTTAGCCAAGAGAAAGGTATAACAAGATGTAAAACTTTATAATCAACACAAATAAGCAATAATCTAATAATCAATCGAGAAGATAAATTTGAATTATTAGGAACACTTAGACGCTTTTGAATTCGCCCATCAGCAACTTTACTTATCCATGAAATTAGACAAATGCCACTGCGTTTCGCAACTGAACCTCGCCCAATGCCAGGTTTGGATGTCTTCAAAAAAGCATCAATTCTGTATGTCGAGGAATGTCCCGAACAACGTTGGGATGTGCCTGGATATTGAAGGATATTTAAGGCAGTCTGGAGGACTGTACAAACTAATATTAAGGGATGTCCAGAATAATTTGAGAGGGACAAATCTGATATGACGTTGTGAGATATCAGAGATTATATTGAGGAGTTTCTAGAACGATGTTAGGGTTTGTCTTAGACCTTAGACGATGTAGAGGGCTATTTGTGGCTATGTCAAGAAGAAGAAGACGATGTCGAAGGCATCTAATGTTGAAGTGTGTCAGAGATGATCTTGAATGGAACGATATAGAGGGCTATTTGGGGCTATGATATTGAAGACGTCTGGGATGATACTATAAGATATCAGATATCATGCTGAGGAAAGCGCGAGTTAATATTGACGTGTGTGAAGGACGATATTAAAAAGGATGGCCAGGGCGATTTTGAGAGGTCGAAGATTATATTGAGAAATATTCGGGCCGATGTTGAGGTGTGATAGGGATAATATTGGGGGTTGTCAGAAATGATATAGAGGGTTGTCAGAAACAATGCCGAGGACTATTTGGAGCTATAAGGAGTAACAGCGATGATATTGAAGGATTTCCATGACCGTGTTGAGGTGTGCGTAGAACTATAGAGGGATGTTTGAGATGGTATTCACGGCTGATAATGAAAAATGTCCAGGACGATTTTGAAAGGTTACTGGAGTAGTAGCTACCTCTTCGCTATAAAAGAAGAGTGAATTGGATGATTAGCAACTTCGAAGTATTCAAATTATGGATGATATTAACCAGCAAAGGGATCGTATCTCCAGTTGCTGCCATGATTAGAATGCGACTAAAAGCTTTACAATGCTCATTGGGACAACGATCAGCGGTTCCATCAAAATCGTATTGTAAGAAGACTAAAAGAAGACTTTAATAACTTTAGGGAAAACATTTATTTGTATATATTATCGACGTTTAAAACTGGTCGTTGTTTTTCGCTGGAAGAAAAATATAAGTTCAGCAAATAATTATCAAGCAACACACTTGTTGGAAAGTCCACTTAAAAATTCTGCCTTTAGGCAATAATGTAACCCAAAAAGATTACATCATTCTATTAAATAATTTCAACAAACCCAATACCTTTTCTCCAAATAAAATAAATATCTGTAATTCAAGAACTGTTTGTGTACATATAGTTGTTATTAAAAAAATCTTTGACCAGATAAAAATAGAAAGATTTGTCTTAAAATACTTTTAGGTTGTTAATTAAGAAAGGAACCATAAAATAAAAATAACAGTTTTAAATACGTAAAAAGACTTCCTTACAACATAACCAAAACTCGTTTACACCTAAGAGTGAAAGCGGGAAACGCTTTCGACTTGTTTGCAAGAAAAATTCTTTCAGTTTTCTCTATTCTTACCCGCTTGTACTACAACCATTTATTATAAACCATGGGAACAGATCGGATCTGTTGTTTTAAAATGGATTAAAATAAAACCCTCACCAAGAATACCTCCACCAACTAAGACCATTCCAATTAAGACCATTAGTATTGTAATATTAAATAATTTTTAGATAACTCAATTTTCTTTTTTTTTTTTTGCTACGATAAAATTAATTGTTATTATTATTACCAACACCAGAAAAGTTCCCAGAAACAATCATTTCACCTCCTCCACTACCATCCTTACCCTGTGAATATCTTTGTTACGTTGATGTCTTGCTAACAATTCATTTTCGCTGAGGTAAGCCAAACTTTCCGATTTAATAATCGCCTCTTCTAATTCCGGACACATTTTTGTTTTGTTGTTCTTCTTTTTTCTTAGGAGCGATTTGACACTCCACAAATTAGTGGAATCCTTTTTAATTTTTTGTTGGTGATTGTCTTGTATTAAAGATGGTTCGTAATTGGGAGTTTTGGGAGGAAGTGGTGAAATCTTTTCTTCTTCGCCCCCACCATTAATCTTGACTAGAGTAACGTTTTTGGTTTTTTGATTATCTTCGGGACTATTATAAATTGAAATAACCGCTGACGATTTAGTATTACGAATTGTACAAGAAACGATTGTTTTTCGTAAATCTAAATTATGATCGTTATTACTACTGTTTACCGAGGAGGTCGTCGACCAATTGGGTGTCTTGTGTGTTGGCGAACTGTACCCTGATGTACTTTGAGATTCGCTGTGGATTATAATACAAGCACCCTTACCGTTTCTAGATGATGAGGTTTGACCTTTTAAAGTTGCCGGTTTGAACGTTGATAGTTGTTCTGGTTGGTATTCATCGGTCGGTGTTACAATTTCAGCGAGAGTCTTTTCATCTTCTTCGCTTGATGTTGTACTATTCCTCCAATTCGGATCAAAAATTTTATGCTCAGATGGCGTTTCAATTGTATTTGGACTTTCTAAGTCTTGAATAAGTTGAAGTGCGGCTTCTAATTCTTTCGAAAATTCAGCATCACTATTTTTGGAACTTTTTGAGCTCTTAGAACTTTTAGATGTTTTTGACGTTTTAGATGTTTGAGAAGAGCAAGTTTGTTTAGACGACGATGAAGTTGAGCTTTCAGAACTTTGAAAATTATTATTACTAGGTGTAGGTGGTGATGGCTCCTTTTTATTTACAATAACTTTTTCGAGTTCTTTCATTAATGATGCGTATTGTACCTTTTCAACTTGAGGACTAGTTGTGCGAACCATAACGGGTTGAGGTGCTTGATATTCATCTGATTTATTACTTAAAGCACTCGTTAGTCTGGTTCGGTAAATTTCGGGTTCGGTTAATTTTTGTAGACATTCGTAAATAGGTGGTGGATTATTTAAACTTATTTGTGAGGAACTCGGTGATATAATCACCGGGGAAGTTGATCTTGAAAAGCTCTTCATGTAACATAACTTTCTATCATTGTTACTGTTGCTATCATCGGAAGCTTCTTCTATGTGCACAACTGGATTATCTATTAAATGAGCTTTATCACTACTAACCATCACATTATCTAACGAATTTTTTCTTTTAACGATTTTTGTTGATACCTCTTCTTGTGGTAAAGTTAAATATAAACCGCTGCTTTGATCACGTTGAGTTTGATAGTTGCAACCGTTTTCTTGTTGATGATGATGATGGTTATTACCGAAAGTATTATTAGCGGTTTCCGCATCATAGACCCAACTCTGTGAGTACACGTTACAGACTGTCGCCGTTGACGGTGGTTTGGACGATTTGCGCTGAAAAAGAAGGAGAGGAGTTTTACTTTAATATCGTCGTCATGTCGTGAGAGTGCCACTTTCTACCGATACTTTGGCGCGGCTGGTAACGCATTTATCTCTTACCCTGGGTATGATGTACTCAATATCTGAGACCTGCTCGTGAGAACCCCGCGGCGGTTTCTTCATTTTGACAGACTGTGGTTTTGGGGCCGTTTGAATCGAACAAAAAGACAATTGGGCGTCCAAAAATGTTGTGAAGATTAGAAGTGCTGAAGAAGCTCTTGTTGTCCAACAAGCTAAAAAAAGTTATTTTATTATATTAATTATTAAAATTAAATTTAATATAAAACATTTCGATCAATATAAATTATTGCCCATTAAATTAAAATCGATAAAGAAGTTGAAAGAATCTTTTTAAAGTATTATTATTAACCTATCACGAACAAAAAACGTGAAAGGGAATGTTGAAATTTGTAATTCCATTTTTATTAAAATGGGTAGTTTTATAAACCCGAGAGATGATCATGGTAATTTTAACACAGTTTAGATGGTGAGGACAGCGCGGCCTCCGTGGACTTAATCTGGTGTTCTGGACATTCCGGTACTCGAGGAAATGAAAGTTGAGTTATGCGCGGTGTTAACATTCCGGGAAACAAGAAGCGTTTCTGTGACGACGTAATAAAGCAAGACAGGTGTTGTTGAAATATTAACGTTATCGACAATATAATTATAGATTAAATTCTTTTTTAACTTTTATTTCGTTTTCAAAAGTTCCCCCGGCCCCTAGGTATCAAATAATACTTCATTTTGAAACGATTAAGTGTTTCAAATTGATCGATTTGATTTCGAATATTAAAAATTTTAATAAATATCTCATAAAGAAAAGGAAAATAATTAATTTTATGGTTCTTTAACTGTGAAGTTATCTTTAAGTAGAATCTTTGTGAACCTGTTTGTAATTGTTTAGTAAATAAAAATGTATGTTTTAGTACTTTAATTCTTATAGTAAAACCTTCATCAACATTTGGGTGCATATTATATTTACAAATGTTGCACAATATATTTTTACTTTACCTTGCTATTTAGGATCTAACTCTCAAAACAAAAAAAATGCTTTTGAGCTTTGAATTCTTGACATACAGTCATTGCTCAAAAGGTAAAATTAGATGGACCCATTTAGAATTTTCATAACTTTTAGAGATATTTTTATACATAAGTTAAAACTTCCACCACCTCAACAAACAAAATAAGGTCAAAAGGGAACTGAATAACGAGACAAATAAGCAGTACAGTCCATAGCAGATAAATCACTTTCAGTTCTTGAAAAATACATTTTCGAAAAGATCGAAAATTTTTTCGACTTTTTCAATTTTAGCCGATTAAGTTTTAAAAATTCGTATAAAATCAAGTTCTTAGAATATGAATATGAAAATTCCCCAAAGTGTTAATAAAAGTGTCCTCTTTCCAATGAACCAACCCGTTTTGAAAAATAACTTTTAGTTTTTGAGAAAACAATATTTGAAGTTTTGATAAAATTTTCAATGTTGCCATTTTTCATCGAGACTTTTCAAAATTCGCTATAAAATTAATTTCTTGAAGGATTCTTGTGGAAATATCACCAATTATTAATTAAACTATCTTCTTTTTCATGCAAAAGGCCGTTTTGAAAAATCACTTTCAGTTCTTGAGAAATACATTTTTGAAATGATCGACAATTTTTTCGAATTTTGCAATTTTCGCCGATTAAGTTTTAAAAATTCGTATAAAATCCATTTCTTGGAATATGAGTATGAAAATTTCCCAAATGTTAATAAAAGTGTCCTCTTTCCAATGAACCAACACGATTTGAAAAATAACTTTTAGTTTTTGAGAAAACAAAATTTGAAGTTTTGATAAAATTTTCGTTATTGTAATTTTTATCGATAACTTACAAAATTCGCTAAAAGTTAATTTCTTGAAGAATCCTTGTGGAAATATCACCAATTATTAATTAAACTATCCTCTTTTTCATGCAAAAAGCCGTTTTGAAAAATCACTCTCAGTTTTTGAGAAATACATTTTTGAAATGATCGATAATTTTTTCGAATTTTACAATTTTCACCGATTAAGTTTTAAAAATTCGTTTAAAATCCATTTCTTGGAATATGAGTATGAAAATTTTCCAAAATGTTAATAAAAGTGTCCTCTTTCCAATGAACCAACCCGTTTTGAAAAATAACTTTTAGTTTTTTAGAAAACAATATTTGAAGTTTTGATAAAATTTTCGATGTTGCAATTTTTCATAGAGAATTTTCAAAATTCGCTATAAAATTAATTTCTTGAAGGATCCTTGTGGAAATATCACCAATTCTTAATTAAAGTATCCCCTTTTTAGAGATGCTTCGTTAGTTAAACAAGCATCAAAAAAGTTCATTTTGTATCTTGAATCCAAATAAGTTATGAATATCTTATCAGCTTTCTTATTAATTTCATTTTTATTCAAATATCGCAATAATGTGGCAATGTAGGGTATCACTTCAGAAATGCACTAGAAATTATAACCATAATGGCCGGATAGATATGCCGGATAACTTTTTGCAAAATCACTATCCATTCCAGCACAAGGCACACATAGTTTATGTGAAAAATCACAATCGAGGTCGGTAAAGCCAGAAATGTAATGGGAGCACTTAATTCTATCTGGTGGGATAAAACCACAAACCAGAATAATAAGAAATTTATTGGAAAGACTATCATCGAGAGTGTATTGACATATGGTTGTAAGCTTTGAATGATGAAGGAAGAGGATAAACGGAGAGTTGTCGTAATGGCAATGCCCAGATTGGAAAGAATTCGAAATGAGGACATTAAAAACAGAATGACAGCAACGGAAACTGTCATGGACAGGGTTAAAAAGAGAGGCATGAGATGATTTTGTTATATGTTACGCATGGAAGCAACCACCTGTTACATCATCTGAAAAGAAAAGAAGACGACTTCCTCGAAGATCATGGTGTAAAGGCGTGTAACAGGCAATGAGAGATAGGGAATCGAGTGATAAATTGAATGGGAATGCAGCACCGGGCTGTCTGACTGATACACTACATATAGTTTATTGTGTTGTACTTCCCATATAATTAAATAACTTGGATCATAGACAACACTGTGTGTTCGCTAGGCTGTAAAGCAGTTGTTATACGATCAAGGTGGACAAATTTTAGCAAAAGGATCATCTTAAGGAACGGAGCCCATTTTAGATGAACACATCAATAAACCATAAGATACACCAACACTAAATCATTCGGGGAAAATGTTCGACGCGGGTATTGCTTTGACAGAATCATCCATTCTTTTAACTTTTTGCGGCTTAAAGTGGATGAAGATGAATATCAAGAACTTTTTTTAAAACTGGAACGTACCTCGCATAATGTGTCATTCTGCATGCGCCATTTGTAGATATGGTTATCAGCGAGGTTGCTCTGTGAATTGGTCATAGAGATCTTGCGATTTAACGCTTTTGGATTACTTCCTTGGGGATATCTTAAAATGCAACTACGCAAACAATTGAAGTTATATTCCATGCTTAATACACGTAAAGTCTTTTGTTATAACACCTTGATTCACGTACTATATTAGCTATATCATTATTGTTCTTCAAGGTTAATGTTAAAAAATTCAATTTGCGTTTCATTAAAGTTTTTATATTTTCTATACTTATTCTAATTACTTTACTGCGAAACACATTCATGTTGTGATCATTTTAATTTTTGCTGGTGGAATTTACATCCCATGATGGTCATATATGGCCGAAATATGTAAAGTGAAATAATAAAACGGTAAAAAATGGATAGAAGTTTTAATATAAATAAAAATACTGTTAAGTAAATGATAAAATCTAACAGAGAAGATAATAATGGTTCTAAAACAGTTATAAAACATGTTTCGTTATTGATTATGTTTTCGAGCCAATTAAACTCTGGGGAAATTTCACTGAAATTTTTAGAGGATGATTGCCACGTCACCCATATTCACAAGGGTGACAAAGTTCACATCCCATATTAGGGTAAAGTTTATAATTACAGCTTGATAAACAATTTAATTTTAGATAATAAATTTATACGCGAAATCAAACAATTTAAAACAACTTTTAACTCACCTGCAAATTTATAGATAAACTGAATAAATTATAGACGAAATCAAATCGTTTTCGAGCGATTATTGAACACAACCAATTTTTTAGATCGATTACAATTAAATGAAAACTTATTTGACGTCACCGTTATTTTAAACAAGCAATAATAACCCGGAGCCACAACTAACTCTTTAAGCAAACGCTTCTCGAATAATCATTGAAACGACCTTACCGGTTGTAAAATGTAAAATATTCCAACAACAAAACCAAGCTAGCAGCGATAATGAAAATAATAAGAAAAAATAGGAATTCCTAAAGTTGATGGTACGTATTAAAAATATGCAAATTTTTTAGTGCATTAACAAATTCCTATTTATAGAACACGACTTATATGTATAAAATTTTTTGTTTGTTAATAACATTACCATATTCGATGAGGATGGTGTATCGGTGAGCTCCGACCATTTCTTTCATATCGTTTACGTAGAAACTCCATTCGGTAATCACGACGTTGATGGCGTTCGCAACGAGAATGGAAATCGTTAGATAAAGGAGGATTTCTTGTCTTCGTTTCGATAGGGAACAGAAGCAGGCCAACATTCCGATTCCGATGCCGATCAAAATATCCTGAAAAAGAAATCTTATTAGTTATATTAATAATTAATAAAAGGGAGATGGGAGATGAAGAAAATCTTATAAAGACAACACTAATTACGAGCAATAATAACTTACGAAAACTATTAGAGGGAACCGTTACATATTATCCTAGTTGCGAAGAGAAACAAACGGAGGATTCCCACGCGGAAACGTGCTCGCTCGTTGTTATTACGCAACCACCACCTTAAGTAAAACCTTACTTAACTAAAATGCGAAATGCGTTAAGAGCTTCGCCAAGAACACGTTTCTATTTCTTGTTTACTAACGTGTGCAACAACTACTACTGATAATGTTTTAGAACGACCAAATCAATGTAAAAGATTTTTTTTGTCAGTAAAAGATTTTTTGCAACTTTATTTAAAGTTTTGTTCACATTAACGTTTGCCCTCTAACGATGGTGTGATTAATGCGCTGTGGTAAGTCGTCAATCACCACCAACAACAACAATAACCACTCTCTAAGTCTTAAATTAAAATGTATTCTTCTTCAGGCTTGTGTTAATACTTTTGTGATTGTTGTTATACGCGAAGACGAATGCTATTTCGTCAAGAAACAATTAAAATTTCCTTAAAAACACTCTTTTTAAAATTTATTAATGACACACAAAAAGTTCATACATACATCATCGATTGGAGTTTGAGGTGAATGTCGATAAAGTATTGATTAGAACGTAATATTACTTCTCGATTAGCATTTGATTAAGATTGTATAAAACTCAAATTGGATTCAACATTACATAGGTGTTATATTAGAAATCTTCGGTTTTGTTCGTTTAACGTTTGTTTAAAGTCATCAGGATTAAACTTTCTAAAACAGCGCCTTTTAACGTCAATTATCCGACGATTAATGTTCGATTAAAGAAACATTTTAATTTCATATGCTTTTAGCGTTAGGTTATAAATGATTTGAATAATAATACATTAATCTAGTTTCAAGCTTCATAACACTACAAAAATCTTACAGAATTATTTTTAAATAAGTTATTAGTGAAAATCAGGGGTGGATTATCTATAACTAACTTAGCATGATGGTAACCATCGATTAAGGTTGTTGAATAAACTTAAATATTTCAGAACTGTTTACATCGATGACGCTGAGCATCGATTAGCGTTCGATTAATATTTTATAGAACACATTGTAAGTTTTATTTATATTCCGATTAAAGTTAACTTGATGTTAATCGAGCTTTAACTACATTAGAGTTTGTTTAACGATTTCTATAAATCATTTTTATTTTAAATTGACCTTGACTCTTAATATAATTAAAATTAACGTCAAATTAACCATCGATTAATGTTTGATTAAAGAAACATATCAATTTAACATGGCTTTACCGTTAGGTTATAAATAATTTGAATAATAATTCATTAATTTGGTTTCAAGCTTTATAACACTACGAAAATCTTAGACATTTATTTTTAAATAAGTTATTAGTAGAAATCAGGGGCGGATTATTTATAACTAACTTAACATGATGGTAACCATCGATTAGTGCTTGATTAAGGTTGTTGAATAAAGAAAATTTTAATTTCTCAGAACTGTCTGATGTAAACTCAACGTCATCGATGTGATGACGTTGAGCATCAATTAGCGTTCGATTAATATTTTTTAGAACAGATTTTAAGATTTATTTACATTTCGATTAAAGTTAACTTGATGTTGATCGAGCTCTAACTAAATTAGAGTTTGTTTAACGGTTTCTATAACTGATTTTTATTTTAAATTGACCTTAACTCTTATTATAATTGAAATTAACGTCAAATTAACCATCGATTAATGTTTGATTAAAAAAACATTTCAATTTGACATGGCTTTAGCGTTAGGTTATAAATGATTTGAATAATAATACATTAATCTGGTTTCAAGCTTTATAACACTACACAAATCTTACACAATTATTTTAAATAAGTTATTAGTAGAAATCAGGGGTGGATTATCTATAACTAACTTAACATGATGGTAACCATCGATTAGTGCTTAATTAAGGTTGCTGAATAAAGAAAATTTAAATTTCTCAGCATCAATTAGCGTTCGATTAATATTTTATAGAACACATTTTAAGTTTTATTTATAATTTGATTAAAGTTAACTTGATGTTAATCGAGCTTTAAGAAAGTTAGCAAGCTTTCAAAATAAATTGACGTGGAATTTGTTTAATATCTCACTGGCACTCTCATATTATCTAGATTTTCAAGGTTTAATCAGTGATTTATTGTCCGATGAAAAATTAAATAATCGCACTTTATAACACAATGCCTGAATAAATGCAACGTTAACCATCGATTAGCGTTCGATGAAATTTTCACAAAAACCAATTTTTTGGTTTTTAATTTGATGGTGTTAATGATCATTTAATAAGCTGTCGATTAATTTGGTATTTTAGAATTAACCTGACCCTCTGCTATTTAACGTTTAGTTAAAATTTAATTAGCGAGATTAATTTAAAATTCAATTAACGAGATTAATTTAAAATTAAATTAAGTATGGATCATTAATTTCATTAGACATTAAATTTATTTATTATTAAATTTGTCAGAATTCATCAAATTATTATTTTTCTTCTTGTTTTGATTAAACATAATCAAAGTGTTAAGTTATAAATCGGTTGAGTCATTAAATAAGTTTTCATGATATATTTATGCCTTAAAAATCTAAATTTATTTATCTACAACTAACTTAACGTGATGATATCCATCGATTAATGCTTGATTAATGTTGTTGAATAAAGAAAATTTAAATTTCTCAGAATTAGCGTTCGGTTAATATTTTATAGAACACATTTTTAGTTTTATTTATACTTCGGTTAAAGTTAACTTCATGCTAATCGAGCTTTAACTAAATTAGAATTTGTTTATCAATTTCTACAGATAATTTTTATTTTAAATTGTCCTTAACTCTTAATATGGTTGAAATTAACGCCAAATTAACCCTTGATTAGTACTTGATTAAAAAAAATGGTTTAATATAACGTTAACATTGAAGTATAAACGATTTCAATATTTCAATTTCAATCGAAACCATCACAAAGTTCACGTGCCATAATCTCTAAATCAAGGTTTGACTACAATCAGGTTAAGCATCGATTAGCGGTCGATTAATTTTTTACTGAGGTGATATCTATCAATTATTATACGATTGAGGTTCATTATGGTTTTTGATGTAACGAGATTAGTATTAAAACATACTATATATGATAAAATAATATATATTATTGTCTTGATTATTATTTATTGCAAAGACTTAATATTTTGATTCTTCAATAAATGCTATGTACATTATTGTAACTTTCAAAGAGTCAAACAAATAAAACCGTATGACTTGAAAATTTACAACGTACGGTCACGAAACGCAATTGGAAAAGATGTCACACTTTGTTGCGCCTCTCCGGTTCTCCGGTCGTTTTAATTAGCACCATAAGTCAAGAAGAAGAAGACGAAGGTACCTAGCACAACAAGTCCAAGTGAGTAGTGTATCTGGTACCGGCGCGAAATGGTCGCAGAGCATTTGGTAGCGCTAACACTAATTACTACCAGTTCGTAAATCGTTTCGGATAGTTTTATAACTTCCACATCGCTAAAATAGTCATACCCAACATTTTTTGAGTAACCACTTCTGAAATTGATTGAATAACGACCGGCTTAAAGTATTGCCTTTAAATGGTAGTGCTAAATAATATTCTTGCAAGCATAATTATTATAAATAATCGAGACAACCGAATATTAACTCATCTCGACCACCACGATTTCAAATCTCAACCGAGCAATACAATCTCTTGGGTTGTTTCTTTTCACCTTTTCACCGGTAAATACCAGGTCTTGAACGGCCTCCGAGTGACCCGAACGTCGTCGTTACCATGTTATTTACGAGATAATTCTTGTATTTTAACGTTTAAAAAAAATTAAACGGTGAAGCACGTGTCGGTATCGAAGGGTACTTCTTCTCAACCTCCGAACGAGTTTCAAGAGTCGTTTATTTCAAGATTGAGATTAGAGACTTCGAGGCGCCATAATCGTTTACATTTATTAATGGTGCTAATTAATAACGGCTTATAATTGGATCTTGACCGTGCGCGGTTAACGTTTTAAGAACCATGCCAAGGAGATGGTTATTGAAGAGAACGTTTAACACTCGTAAACGACGCAGTCGAATGTATTTTCTTTACACCCTCAATTTTAATTTATAATATGAAGAATAAAGCAAATATGGATTTGAAAAAACGGCTTATGTTTAAAAATTAAAATCTCAAAAACTAAATACGTTTTTGGTTCTAGAAACTTATTTAATATGTTATGGTTTTGTGTTGAAATAATATAGAATGGGAAAAAAGTAGTTTATGTAATTATGAGAAACATAAAGCTACACATGTACAAATATATAACAAAAATATACAGTGTATCCGAATAATTCTAGATCTAGGTCTTGTGTTAGTTCTAGTGATAGTGCTAGTGTAAAACTAGAACTAACACAAGACCTAGAACTAGAATCATTCGGGTTTCCGAAGCCGTCTTGAGACGTACGGCTAAATCCGAATGTTTCTAATTCTAATGTTTGTTCTAGTGACAGTGATAGGTAGCGCTAGTTAGCATAAGATTGCACTAAAACTGGAACTAACACTAGACCTAGAACAAGAAACCTTTGAGAGACGTGCGGCTAAATCCGAATATTTCTAGTAGACCTAGAAATTTGTCACAACTCAGATTCTTATTTTTCTCGATATCTGTGGGTGTGAGAGCAAAAGTGCAAGAGAGCACTATTGTTAAGCATAAAATTTGCTACAACCTTTGTTCCAAAAGATTTTTTGTAACATGCTCAGATTCCCCAATGCTACCATCAACATCTTGAAAAGACAACGACTTCATCAAATTTTCATATTTTCGTATTTTTCTTGATATCTGTGCCTCTGACAGCAAAAGTGCAAGAGAGCACTATTGTTAAGCATAAAATTTGCTACAACCTTTGCTCCAAAAGATTTTTTGTAATATGCTCAGATTCCCCAATACTACCATCAACATCTTGAAAAGACAAGGAATTCGTCAAATTTTCATATTTTTGTATTTTTCTCGATATCTGTGCGTGTGCGAGCAAAAGTGCAAGAGAGCACTATTGTTAAGCATAAAATTTGCTGCAACCTTTGTTCGAAGAAATTTTTTGTAACATGCTCAGATTCCCCAATGTTACCATCCACTTGAAAAGTCAGTGATTATATATGTTCAAATTTTCATATTTTTGTATTTTTCCCGATATCTGTGCGTCTGATAGCAAAAGTCTGAAGACGCTACACCAACTTACAGCAAGGTGAAGTGTTAGTTCTAGTTTTACACTAGAATAGTGTAAATATAATAGACCTAGAACTAGAATCATTCGGATTTAGCCGCCTTGAGAGACGTGCGGCTAAATCCGAATATTTCTAGTTCTAGGTCTAATGTTTGTTCTAGTGACAGTGATAGGTAGCGCTAGTTAGCAAAAGATATCGCTATGTTGCATATTTTTATTGCACTAAAACTAGAACAAATATTAGACGTAGAACTAGAAACATTCGGGTTTAGCCGTCTTGAGAGACGTGCGGCTAAATCCGAATGTTTTTAGTTCTAGGTCTCATATTTGTAGGTATCATTATGTTGTCTATATCCTTTATTTCAGCAGTTGAAGCATCTGGCACCTCATGTTCTTCTGCTGAATGCTCCTCCTCCACAGCTTTTACCTGCTCAAGTTACAATTCATTCTCAAATTCTTCTGGAGTGAGTTCTTGACTATGGTTCTGCAGTAACTCCACCACATCATCCTCGATGTTTTTGAACTCCAAACTTTTGCCAATGTTTACAATGTCTTGTACCATATCTGCCTTCTCCACAAAGTCTTTAAAATGTCTATCAGGCACAGAAGTTGGCAAAAAACATTGTTCCAGGCTATATCAATGAAATTTATGCAGTGGATAATATTAAAATGATGGAGAAATCTTGCTGGGTCAAATCTGTATTATTAATCACCTGGAAACAGCGTGAAAAAAGAGCTTTCGTATATAGCACAATCAGTTTTTTCTAACCGGCAATTACTTTGATGTTTTGAAATTATACTTTTTAGCCATTGGGTTGTTTGGGTAACATACATACTTCCCATTGCAATCATTGAGAACTCAAAGAACTAAAAGATATTTTGAAAATCTTTTTAGTGTTATTATTTTGGCAACCTTTTCCTACGACTTCCAACAACTCTATACTTGTAAGTCAAATGTCAATAGTAATATTTCTGCCAGATCCTTTTATTGATTCACAGAATCTTTGCATAACAGCACTCGAAGTGCTTAACTATTTTATCTATTTAACTAAGTTTTATCTATTGATACATAATAAAAATGGCTGTAAACACTTTTGCAATTTGTAACAAATTTGTCAAGTACATCTCGTATTGGCGCTGATTTACCCACTTCTTTGCGTTTCTCGAGTCATCAAATCCCAAATTACTTAACAAAAACAAAGAGATTACCAAATTAAATTTTCCACTCCAATTCCCAGAATACTGAATAATTCTCTAGCATTCAAGCGACTTAATTTGAGAACTCCTGCCATATACATTAAACTCGAAACGTATATACAGAGTTTATTGAAGGGTGCTGAAGGTAATTGAAAGGAGCCATCAAAGTAAACACTCAAACGACAAATTTGTCTTGGATCCTGCAATTGTTAGCTAAATTAAATAAAAGTGAAGTCTATAATCTTTGTTATACGACATCTAATTTATATTGGAAAGGAAAAAAATGTTTGATCAATACTTAAAAGCGAATCAATCCACGGTTACATTATACTTTATTCTTAATCAATTTCCTGTTTATTTAAATTAAAAATCTTTACATATATAAAAACATATTAATCAATTTAATATGAATAAAACAAGATATCTTAAGTGCTGGTGTGTGTATTATGTCTTGAAGATATCCCGATTTGGTCGTTGTTAAATAATGTATAAATGAATGATATCCGGAAGTAAATCTTACACATTCGTGACAAATTATACAAGACTTACCCACGTGCCAACCCATAAATTCGAGCTAAGGTGTAAAGACGGCACAGATACGAAGAGGAAAATCCCGGAGACCAACTGAGCAGCTCCACAACAAACGTAAACGAAGCTCCAGAGCACATGCAGTATGGTCCACCCACGCGTACAAGTCAGGCACATCACGCCCTGCAAAACACAAATGATAAAGACAAAGAACACTGCTTGTTAAAAATTGTTTTTAAAAATATGACAATTTAAATGTTGTTCACGTGTAAGAATTTGGTTTTGTTCGTTCGATCGAGCACGCACGGGTTCAAGAACTAACTGTAAATTAAGTATATTACTCATTTGTTTTGGACGCATCGAGAGATAATAAACGGTCATAAGTTGATTTTGAAATAAACATTTTAAGGAATGAAATGTATGAATGAAATTTGTGGTTAATAAAAAAAAAAGAATCGGTGAGATCAAGTGAGTTCAAGTTTTTCTAAGGATTTTGATTAATTAGAACCGCAATGTGCAATTTGTAATCGAACCAGAAAAAGAGATGAGTCAAAATAAGCGGTTATTTATACAAAATGTTGTAAAAATTAATCAATATTTTCTTGTAACTTGCGAGAGAAGTGATTGCGATAAATTATTTCTCAATTGCAAATAAAGGACAAGACGATTAATTTTGCGTACATGATCCCTTCTATAAGTGCGTGTTCGTTGGTTCTTTCGTTTTAGTACCAACATTTATATTAAACCACAAACCGCGGGGGATCCACCCACTTGAAATTGTTTATACAGGATGTTTCTGTATAAATAACCAACCAAAATTTCAAAATTCAAGATTGAAATGTAGTAATAAAACTCGATATAACGGAAAATTTTTAATTTGCACTTTAAATGGGCGAACGTCTGAAAATGCACGGCTAAACCTGAAACTCAATATCGAATTTGTTATTTTTTCAAGATGTTCATGATAACATTGGGGAATCTGAGCATGTTACAAAAAAACTTTTGGGATAAAGGTTATAGCAAATTTTATGCTTAGCAATACTGCTCGTTTGTGCTTTTGTACTTAAACGGACAGATATCGAGAAAAATACGAAAATATGAAAATTTGAGGAATTCGTTGTTTTCTCAAGTTGTTGATGGTAATATTGGGGAATCTGAGCATGTTACAGCAAAACTTTTGGAAGAAAGGTTGTAGCAAATTTTATGCTTAACAATAGTGCTCTCTTGCACTTTTGTTCTCAGAGGCACAGATATCGAGAAAAATACGAAAATATGAAAATTTTACGAATTCGTTATATTTTCAAGTTGATGGTAACACTGGGGAAACTGAGCATGTTACAACAAAACATGTGGAATAAGGGTTGTAGCAAATTTTATACTTAACAATAGTGCTCTATTGCACTTTTGCTCTCAGACGCACAGATATCGAGCAAAATACAAAAATATGAAAATTTGAGGAATTCGTTGTCTTCTCAATTTGATGGTAACACTGGGGAATCTGAGCATGTTACAAAAAACTTTTGGAACAAAGGTTGTAGCAAATTTTATACTTAAAAATAGTGCTCTCTTGCACTTTTGCTCTCAGAGGCACAAACATCGAGAAAAATACAAAAATATAAAAAGTTGACGAATTCGTTGTCTTTTCAAGTTGATGGTAACACTGGGAAATCTAAGAATGTTGCAGCAAAACTTTTGGAACAAATGTTGTAGCAAATTTTATGCTTAACAATAGTACTCTCTTACAGTTTTGCTCCTAGAAGCACATATATCGAGAAAAATACCAAAATATGAAAGTTTGACGAATTCGTTGTCTTTTCAAGTTGATGGTAACATTGGGGAATCTAAGCATGTTACAATAAAGCTTTTGGAAGAAAGGTTGTAGCAAATTTTATGCTTAACAATAGTGCTCTCTTGCACTTTTGTTCTCAGAGGCACAGATATCGAGAAAAATACGAAAATATGAAAATTTTACGAATTCGTTATATTTTCAAGTTGATGGTAACACTGGGGAATCTGAGCATGTTACAACAAAACATGTGGAATAAGGGTTGTAGCAAATTTTATACTTAACAATAGTGCTCTATTGCACTTTTGCTCTCAGACGCACAGATATCGAGCAAAATACAAAAATATGAAAATTTGAGGAATTCGTTGTCTTCTCAATTTGATGGTAACACTGGGGAATCTGAGCATGTTACAAAAAACTTTTGGAACAAAGGTTGTAGCAAATTTTATACTTAAAAATAGTGCTCTCTTGCACTTTTGCTCTCAGAGGCACAAACATCGAGAAAAATACAAAAATATAAAAAGTTGACGAATTCGTTGTCTTTTCAAGTTGATGGTAACACTGGGAAATCTAAGAATGTTGCAGCAAAACTTTTGGAACAAAGGTTGTAGCAAATTTTATGCTTAACAATAGTACTCTCTTACAGTTTTGCTCCTAGAAGCACATATATCGAGAAAAATACGAAAATATGAAAATTTGACGAATTCGTTGTATTTTCAAGTTGATGGTAACACTGGGGAATCTGAGGATGTTACAACAAAACTTTTGAAACAAAGGTTGTAGCAAATTTTATGCTTAACAATAGTGCTCTGTTGCAGTTTTGCTCTCAGAGGCACTGACATCGAGAAAAATACAAAAATATGAAAATTTGATGAATTCGTTGTCTTTTCAAGTTAATGGTAACACTGGGAAATCTAAGAATGTTACAGCAAAACTTTTGCAACAAAGGTTGTAGCAAATTTTATGCTTAATAATAGTACTCTCTTACAGTTTTGCTCCCAGAGGCACAGATATCGAGAAAAATACGAAAATATGAAAATTTGACGAATTCGTTGTCTTTTCAAGTTGATGGTAACACTGGGGATGTTACAAAAAAAATTTTTGGAAGAAAGGTTGTAGCAAATTTTATGCCTAATAATAGTGCTCTCTGAGGCACAGATATCGAGAAAAATACGAAAATATGAAAATTTGATGGATTCGTTGTCTCTTCAAGTTGATGGTAGCACTGGGGAATCTAAGCAGGTTACAACAAAACTTTTGGAACAAAGGTTGTAGCAAATTTTATATTTAACAATAGTGCTCTCTTGCACTTTTGCTCTCAGAGACACAGATATCGAGAAAAATACGAAAATATGAAAATTTCACGAATTCGTTGTGTTTTCAAAATGTTGATGAGCCTGTTACAAAAAAACTTTTAGAACAAAAGTTGTGACAAATTTCTAGGTCTACTGGTAGTTTTAGTTTTAGTTCAATGAAAAGTAGACATCAATCTAGTACTGAATAACAATTAAAACTAGAACTACCGTCCTTGATTTATGCATCGTATAAGACAACTCAGGGAATTCTCCGAGTTAATCTATGAACATGCAATAGAGCAACTTGATAGAATAGATAAATAGATAATATTAATAGGATGACCTAAAAATATTTTGTCCGTTCCAATGAGGTCTGTTGTATCTACATTTTACTGTATTTCGAACCATAACTTATTGAGAAATTCACTAAACGTATGATGTAGGAAAAACTAATTTTATAAAAATTACGACTAAATTATGCATGGTTTCGAAGTATTAATGACCGTAAATCTCCATATTTAATCAACATAACCGCAATCATCTTTTTGCAACCTACGTATTTTACAACGTACAAATCGTTTTTGCTTAGATGGAATGTAACGGAATCCAAGAAGTAGACTTTTGACATACATGGATAAAATGGAAAAAAAATAGAATAAATTTTTGTGTCCTCGTGATATCCGCCTGCGAGATGATGCGGTATTTCAATTTGCGAGAACACTCTTCTTATAAAAGAACCCTTTTTTGTCAGTGAAAAAAACGTTATTAATTCGCTTCATTCGAGCAGATTTTTTCTTTTCGTCTTTTTCTTTCTCATTTCGCACGGTACGCGCGGAGCAATTTATCCGAGAAACTCGGATAATACGGTCAAATTAGAGTAGTAATCGCGAAACCGCAACCGAGCGGCGGGATAATTGAATTATTATAAGCCGACGTGTTATTATCCTGATAAATTCAAAGCTGATGGTTCTATATACGAATAAACTGGATTATAACTTTTCTTTCTTCTTATACAATACATTTTCCGCTAATCTAAATCTCAATCTAATCAAGTAATGCAAAGTAAATCTACTTTGTGGATTACAAATAACAGAAAAGGTGAAAAATATTCTAATTAAAAGAACGAGTAACGTTCGGCACGATTCTCATCGTACAGTAATTCACAGCTTTCGGATTCTTTGGGTTTGGATTCGTTCGTGTTGGTAGATTGGATCGCAAATAAAAGTTACTACTAGTATATACTTGAACCACAGCGCGCCTCAATATTTTCTAATGGCATCCGCAAATACGTGACCGTGTGGGGAAAGTGAATTCGTTCTCTGTTATGTAAGGCGTTTTCTTCTGTGCTGCTGTTAAGAATACCACGTCGGATTCAAACCAACCCACGTGCACCTGTATGCGTGCTGAGGAATTTGAATTAAATTGGAAAACGGTAACCTATCGGTTTTGAACCAACCCAAGTTAAATCCGTTGAATGAAAATTAGTTGAAATGATTCGAAAGCCAAATCACTTTTTTTATAAAGATAAATTTAGTATTGTTTAAAGTTTTAGTTGTTGAAAATTTAATCGAACGTTAGATGGCAGCAGAAGTTTTGTTCAAATTAAATTAGCGTGATGTTTACAAAATAGTCTTTAAAGATTATTGACAGCTCGTAGCAAGTTTAGATTCTGAAAAGGCGATTTCGAATATTTAGCTTTACAATAAATAACAATGCTTTATTTGTAGTGGTTTCAAGATCAACAGATCACCATGTGATTAAAGAATATAAGGATACTGGGAAGGTTATGAGTCCCAGTATATACAAGTGAAACCTGGTATTCCTGTTGAAGTTGATGATTTTATCGCAGAATTGAAAAGTTTGTTTTACTATATAGATTCATGGACAGGTAGACAAGTAGGACAGACCGACTTGAAAATACCAAACTTTAACGAAAAACTGAAAAGTTCATCTGTGATCTATAGGGCACGGAACTTTTGTAACAAAACGATACGATTTCCCCCCTCCACTTGTTGTGGCCACTCAGTGACGTCTCTAGAAAACAAGCCCAGTAAAGTAGCCACTGAGAAAAAGTGGAGGGGGAAATCGTATCGTTTTGATAC